AATGTTGATTTAATCAACTTGATTAATATAAATTTTGTGCATTTAGTGACTATTTAGGTCACTAAACATTTCTCTCATCAAATATACATATTCAAAAATAGTTTTTAATCCTCTTTTAGTCTTCGAAACATTTTTATTTCTAAATGTTATCAATCATACTCACGCGTATGTCTCTTAGCGATACGTTCGAGGGCAAATCATCCAGAAAATAGCGCAAATGACGCGCAGAAGGAAAATATGTCGAGTACCAATCGTAGGGCCAGTAATTTCTGCGACCAAAATGTTTATATGGTCTATATGTCGTATAGGTAAAGTTATAATCAGGGTCTAGCCAGAATTTTCCGTAATAGGTAATTGGGTAATTAAAATACACCATGTTTCTACAAATATAAATTTTTGTCTTGTATTTTATACATAATTTAGTTTTTGTTTTTAAGTATATTAAAAAGTTATTTAACACTCTTTTTAATTTAACAAAGATTTTTGTTATATATTATATTATTTACCGCGAGCGGAATTGTGCTTTATACCTTATTAGTAGGTATTGTTTAATATAAGTTGTTAAAGCATTAAGTATCAGGGTAACTCGTAATCGTAATAGCCAATAAAAGCAATACCGAATTTTATATACGAATATTTTATAGAATATATATGTTATGTTTATAACAAAATGTTATTAAGTATATTTAAAGTAAAAATTAAAAATAGATATGTGAATCCATTGTTTATTTAATTTAACTAACAAGGCATTGAATTTCCTTTTCCTGTATTTTAATCAAAAACATCTATTTATAACATATAACTACTTCCACAAAACATAACAAAAGTTCTATTAAATTGCAATTACCCGTAATTGTGTGTAAACAAATTTGAAATGTGTTCGAATAAGCAGACATACAAAAGGTACAAACAAATAATCCGTTACAAAACTAACACTTACGTTTACGTGGAATTCGTATCAACTGTGTCGTATAAATTTCGCAAAAACACTAATTTTGAATTCGAAAAATACCTGTCTTTTGAATATACTCGCTTGGATTTCGTCCAACAAATTCACCCCACTTTTTTGAAAATTGATGAGTAACGAGGGAAAATTTTTAAACGTGCATGAATGTGTAACAAAAGTAATAAATTAATAAGCGTTCCCACACGCAAGATTTAAATTGTATGTATACTTTTAAACCTTGTTATTTGTTATAAATCAATAAACTTGTAGTAAACATGTTTTCATTTTTTATATAGTTGTAAAATAAAATTGCACAAATAGTTTCGTTCGTTTATTTAATAAAAATATATGTATGTATTTATTATCACAAATCATAAAATTAAATTATTAATAATAAAATTAACAAAATATTATAAATTTAAAAATTCGTAGAATTACCAATACGGGTACCACATTGGACCGTAGAGTTGACCTCTTGACTGTAAGGAATTGTTTTATATTAGTTTTTTATAGTATATAAATGTAGGTATGTAAATTGGATAAAATTTGGACATATTTTTATAATATTTTAATTTATTCAAAATGCGGTTTTTTCTTTTATCTCGTCTCAACAAAAAATCAAAAATAATATATAAAAATAGTAAATTTGATATATTCTTAAGATTATATGTCAATTGTATAAAAAAATGAAAAAAAAATCTAAAAATATAAATTAAGATAGTATTAAATTAAATACAATGAAAATTATTATATATAATAAAATATAAAATTAAAAACGATTCGAAAATAAAAAATTCGAAAAAATATAAACAAAATTATGAATTTATAAAAAATCATAGAAAACAGAAAATTGTTTTAAAAATAAAAAAATATTAATTTATTTTATCTCCACGCGGTCTATAATTTAAACTTTATTGTTGTCAACATTCGATAAAGAAATAACTTGTTATGGCCTAGGCCGATTTTATGAGGCAAGTAATTAGTTTGATTTTTTCTCGCTAGGGGTATTGTTTTGACAAATTAATCCTTTTCTAAGAAATTAACGTACTAAACTGGTTTAATTTATTTATAATAAGCACTAATTTGTTTGTTTTACCGTTGTTTATTATTTTTCATTAAATAATTGTAAAATTAAATATGAATAATAAAACAAAAAGTGAGGTTAGGACATTGCAATTTGACGTTTCTGTGGATTTCACAGTTGTGTTTTCTTTTTCTACGATTTAAATTATCTTTAAGTTTTAATTTGCTTTAAGTTTTCAGTGAAATTAAATGTTAAACACAGCGTAAACATTCCAAACTACCTATTTTTTAATAAAAATGCAAACAAATTGAAATTAGATACCTATTTATTAAACAATTAATTGAATTCAATAGCAAGAGGGTAAGTAAACCATTTTCTCGATTTTTATGTAAGAATGTCATATTCTCGCACGCAAAATCGTTGAAGAATGAAGCTCATTCTTAAACGATTTTTGGTAACATTTAGTTTTTAAGTATTGGTACCCCCAAAATGTCAAACTGATTAATAACCTCAAATTCATTACTTTTATTGAAAATGAAGCCTTTATTATTGTTTTGTAATATTAAGTTTGCTCCAACAAAGCATTTTAATGCAAAATTTTAAGTTTAATGTAAAAAAGTGCAGTTCAGGTTGTACTTGTGCAGGATAACAAATATTGTCATTTTGTGTTGCCAACTGACATTTTGCGAGAAAAATCCCCTAACTAACAACGACCACAAAACAATTAAAAAAACCTAAATAAAAGTTAAAATCGAGAAAATAGTATAAATCACACGTTGCAGAAGGCTATTCTGGCACTCATTCGTTCGTCCACTCGCTCCTTCGTCGCTCGAGGCCAAATTTCGAATTCGTGCGAGAATATGTGGCCTTCTGCAACTTGTACTTTAATATACTATTCTTACAAAAATCCATTTCTAATTAAATCATGTAGCTAGGTATTGTCAAACTATTAGTGCTTCTAAAAGGAATAATAATTATTATTATTATTATTATTATAAAGATTACATTAATGTACAATAATTATAATTATTGTACATTAATGTAATCTTTAGCTAATAAATAAATGAGATTCTAAAAAAGTGAGGTTAGGCCGCTTTCATGTTGAATTAAATTGACCTATATAAAGTGCTTTGAAGATAAAATGTTGTATGCCATTCGGCCAAGAAGTGTCTTTTTGTGCTTCGCTCAATTGTAGGCATCCGCTACGCGTAGGCCTTCAAACTTTAAGCTTAGCACAAAAAGCCTTACTTCTTAACCTAATGACATAAATAACTATTACAAGTGTTCAAAATGCTTTTCTTGAAAGTTAAACATTGCTTTTTCTACGACGAACATAAAGTAATTTTTTTCAGATTATTTGACATTTTACCTGAAATCTGTCAAGCGATTTTACCCACACATTTTAACAATGTGACTTTCTTTCCACACAGTCCAGTTTTTGCACAGAAAAATATTTTTAATTTAAAAATATTATATTGTAGACATAGGCGGTAAACTCTAAAGAAGCATCGGGTTTTTGCAACGCGCGCGCCATCTGGTGGCGCTCGAGAGCATAGTGGGAATTCAAGATTTGTAAACAATACATTTAAAGCATACAAACTGCACATCATTTTAAAATAAATAAAAAGTTTTTTTACAAATAAAAGAAAGGCAGAGGTCTTACTCGACAAATTTTGTTCGCAAAGTTTCAATTGCACAGCTAAATCGCTAAAGTTATTTGTGGTTCAAATTAAATCAAATCAATCTTTATTGGCCATTTTCATGTTTTGCTAAATGATCCAATTCGGTAAGTTTATTTGTTGGTGCAGATCTAACGATAACTTTACCTAATATAATTTATATTTAATTTTGAATATTTTTTATATTTTTACATTAAAGTCCTCTAAAAAAACGCCGAAAACTGCATTTTAAAATAGAAAAGGACAAAATATATCTATGAGTTAATGGCAACATATTATATATGAATCCCCTATTATCAAAAGTCCGTTTTGATAAAAAATGAGAAACATGCATTAAAAAAATACTACCTATCAATTTGTGCATTCAAATGGTTGCACGAAATGTATATATTAATGTTTTTTTTATAAATATTTGATGGCTTTTGCAATTATTTCTATGCACACATTGATAGGTAGAAATATTTTAATGCATGTATCTCATTTTTATCAAAACGGATTTAAGGGGTTTTGATACTAGAGGATTCATATAAAACATAATATAATACCCGTTGTTTGTTTTTTTACCGTTAAATTAAGACTTTCCTAATCAAAGCTTTAAATAATGCATAAAGCTGTTTAAATTTAGACTTACTTGTTTTATGATTTTTACTGAATTGAAATAATTACAATTTTTATGTAAATTATTACTGAAATGTGTGTTTATTGTGTCTAATACTTATATATTCAATTTATATTTAAAGGAACTGATAAAAACATAACCCAGGATTTTATTTCGAAAAGCACCCAACAACACGTCAAATCGTTTGAAAGCTGATTATAAAAAGTTGTAGTTTGGTTATGATGATAAAGGCCACGTGGTGGCGCCACTAGCGATGCTTCTTTAGCCTATTATCTACCCTCGCATTGACAAGCTGTGAGTTTATGGCACTAGTTACGGGCTGAAGTTGGTTATAAATTGGTAAAAAGTAAGGTTTAATTCGACTCACAATTGTAAGATGTCAAATGCTTAGCAAACAAAATTTGGCTTTACATTTCTTTAATTCATCTTAGATTAACTTTTCTAGCTTCGTTTTAGTAAATGCAGTTATTAAACTTGATACATAATTATAATATACTATTGGCATCAGCTCAAAAATTAAAACCATCAAATACTTTTTAGTACCATAAAACAATAAATAAACTATTTTATATATATTAATATTAAATATCCAATTTAAAATTTATTTTAATTTTCCACTAATTACTCAAGTACCATAAAAAAATAAATAAACTATTTTATATAGGTTAATATCCAATTTACATAAAAATTTTTACCCTTTAAAAATTATTTTAATTTTCATAAAAATATGAATCAAATTATCATCATCCTTACTCTCAAATGTCTAAGGTATGAATACAGAGAGCCCGAATCCATGTAGTACTCCCTTGGCCATTTGCCTGAAAAGTAGTTCGAGTAACTTTGAGGGACGTAGCATTCCCTGGCCTCTCTAAACGAGGGCCAGCTCTTTTCCGTGTAATAATCATACGGCCAGTGGTCTCTGTTATACCTAACAGGTCGATCTAAGTCGGCTCCGCCACCCACGTAAAAAGGATACCTATAGCCCATGTTTACTAGAAAAAATTAATCTTTAGTTGAGTTTGCCTTTTTCATATTTTTTTGTGTATGAGAGAAATAATGTTGCTACATTAAAAAGTGTCTTATTTAATTAAATAAATATTGGTTAACATGCGAAACATGGTTAAAAATAATAATTTTTAAACTAGACGTTAATTTGAGACTTTCAAAATAATGCATGTGAAACAATTTTTTTTTAAGAAAATCTTTAGTTTTTGAGAAAAAAATGTTTTATTTAAGTATTGGTTTTAATATTATACTACTCTAAAAGAGTTTAAAAATGGCAAATAAACAATAAACACTGGTAAATTTTATTAAGTCCAAAACAAAAACTACAAGTTAAAAGTCACTATTACTTTCGACTTCGGCATATACATAAAACTTAATTTTTAATCATTAAAAATGTTAATTTTAACAGAAATAAGAGAACAAATTTAAAACAGTATATTAAAGCCAATATTTAAATCAGTTTACCAAAATTCCAATATTTTTTCAAAAAATTAAGTAAAAACATCTTTCTTAAAAGTACTCACAACTTTCTCAAATATCCAAAACAATGTCGGTGGATAAAATGGCAGGCGAACTCAGGTAAAGAATTCAAGTAACACTGATATGAAATAAAACGTATTTGCATTTTTAACCCGCATTGTTGGCGCTTATCCAAAATTTTCGTCCCACTATTTTTGTATTAGTCACAAGTAAACATGGATTGGTATACGTTAATACCTATCTAGAGTGGTGTAAGCGTATATTTATTTACCTGGCAACAGCTGGTTTTAATGGGGAAAAATTAATTTGGCAACATTGTTTTTAAGATTTTTACAATTGTTTGATTTTTAAGAGTGTCTAAAAAATCTCACAAACTGGTATTTGATTTGGTTCATAGTTTTTTAAAATTAAATTTTCCTTTTTTTTTTATTTGACATAAACTGTCATTAAATATATCTGTAAACCATATCAACATCAGCTTCCTTATTTGGTTTGTTTCCATCTCAAATTTTAGTAAATATAAAATTTATATATTTTCTGTACTTTCTTTAAAATGCCTATTATCGTAAATGTTTCCATAATACTAAGTGTATTATGTATCAAGATTGATAAACCCCATTTTAGTGACAAATTTAACCTAGACACGAGCGAGCTTGCGAGCGAATGCTTAACTAAATGAGTGTCTAGAAAAGTTTATAAACGAGTTGCTATATTGTTTCTACGACAAATACTTATTAATATCTAAAAATGATTTAAATTAAATATTTGTATAGAGCGACATCTATAAAACAATAGAGTAATCATTCTCACTTCTGTTCTGTGTGGGATGTAAAATGTCAAATTTTATCAAATCAAAATTTCACCCTTGAAAATGGACTAACTAAATGCGATATAGAAACAGTTTTTTACAGTAAATGTAAAGATAATTATATATATATATATATATATATATATATATATATATATATATATATATACATATATATATATATATATATATATAATTATAATCAAAAACTTTTCAAATATTGGCGTTGAGAAACTATTTAATATTTCTGTATTTTTATATTAAGATAATAAAATAATTTTAACATTTAGTATTATTTTACAAGAAGGGCACTTTATTGTAACGATTGTATGACATTTTACAATTGTCAACTAACTAATTGTTTATGTTTATTTAAAAGGTCATGGAAACATGAATGATAATGGGCGTTTTATTAAAGGTGGGCATAGAAAAAAAGAATAAACAATCTCGTTAACTTGAACAAAATAAGAAACTGTAGTTTCATAAAACTCAATATGTTTACAAGCAGAATATTTTATAGACAAACTGGACTTTATATTAGGTGTTATATTTTTAAATAATTTATTAGTCAATAACGTTAAAAGTGGAGACTAACTTTCGAGTAAATTATTTTTATATTACCTCCTCTGCTGACTCACTTCTACAAACTTTTAATGAACAGTTCGCTATTTTCATTAAAACAAACTTATATTAAAAACAGTTTTATTATTCTTTTTTATCACAAAAAGTCGTCCTTTTATAATTTACTTTACAGAGAACATCAAAAAAAATATTTTAATAAAATTTTGGTAGTGGGCCGTAATGTTTGTTTCTAAACTAAAATACAACAATTATGTTAAAAATACGAGGAAATGCTTTTTCTGCGATAAACTAACTTACTTTTAAGTCTTTTAAGGTTGTGTAACTTTTTAGGTAGTCGTTAAAATATTTCCATGATTTCCATGAGTGTCCTGACTCCCAAATTGGAGCGTACTTTAAATACTGATACTAAAAAAAGTGTTTAAAAATTGTATTACCAATTATTATACTTATAAGTATTTATAAATATGTATTCAAGTAAAAATAATTGTTATATAAAGTTCATTTTTTTTATCTGGACTGCGGCAACTTTGAAAATTTAGGGTTTTGGTTGGTAAATACAGTTGTCAAGTTGGTCGCATTGATTAAAACAAACTAAGCTAGTTATAAATCTAATTGTGTTTATGTATAAATTATTGAGGTTACATTGTGCAGTTGTCAAGTTGAGTTGTCAAAATTCGTAGTTAAAAATGCAATTAATTTGGCTTTGGTGGTGCTTGTATGAGAAAAATCATATAAAAAAGTAGTTAAATATAGGTTGCTTTACGGCCCAGAAGAGAAAGTATTCCTAGCGAAAAATAATCTTCGCTTTGAAAAGAATTTATATAAAAGAAATTAAAATTTTTTGTGAACGTAAATGTTGTCCAATGGTGAATAATGTGAAAAAAATGTGTGATGTAATATTTATAAAACCAAATTCGTTTCTTTTTTTACTCCAAAAATGTCCATAAGGCGATGTACTTTTTCTTCCATTGTGGCATTTGGCATAATTTCATCAAAATGAAGTTTTGCCCTCAAAAGGGCTTTTACATTTGAATTCGTTGCTATTATTTTTGGCATAATTATCTTTTTATTTATAATTAAAAAGTAAATTATCACTTATAATACCACAAGAGCTTCAAAATTATCGGGTATTTTTCCCGATAGGTTCGTTGCAAACAAATGAAGGAGTCAAGTTTTTCAGGTTAAAAAATCACGAGCGCGAAGCGCGAGTGATTTTTCCTGAAAAACTTGACGACTTTATTTGTTTGCAGGGAACCTTGAGGGAAATGCCAGATAATTTTGAAGCTCGTGTGGTATTCGGGGGATTATTTTTCCGTCCCAAATGTCGGCCAATAGAATTGCACCATGTACAGAATTTCATAATGAATAAAACAACATTTAATTAAGATTTAATTTGTTTTTTATATATAGCAACTACCAGAGAAAATTTTCAAAAAATTATCGCTGTAATTCGCTGTAGGTTCCCTCAACAACAATGCCTCAACAATGTCCCAACAATACAGAGAACTGTCAAAAAAAATAATCAATAATAAATATTATTGTCAATTTGACAGTGTCAAAGTATTTAATTAAATTCTTTAGCAGAAGTACCATTTTTTAAATACTAAAAATACTAAGTCAAACTGGCATACGCCACCAACCTAACAAAAAAACACGAGTCCAGATAAAAAAAATGTAGTTCATAAAAGAAAAAAACATTTTTAATAAAAATCCATTTCAAATTTATTATATTTTAAATTAATTTTTTTTTATATTTCCAGATAATATCAAAATACAAAAATACTACTTTAACAAAAACTGCGAAGTGTAGATTTATATTATTATATTATTATTATATTTTATTATAATACATGTTTATTTTTATACTATAAATAAAAACATTATAGGGTGGACGAAGTAATTCATATGCTTATCTCATAACCTACTGCAGTTACAAATGCGATTTGTCCATTAAAATTAATTAAAATTAATATAATGTTTAAGACTTGATAGCGATAAAAAATTATTTTATGTCCTAAAAATATACAGGGTGCACCAAGTATTTATATTATGTGTTTTTTATATAAAGAGCTACAAGGTTAAACCCTGTAGATGTTTATAGTTATATTATGTCTATTTAAATAAAATTCAAAAACTGAAAAAATCATCGGTGCTTAAATATTTAAAAAAAAACTAAAACCTGTCAAAACCAAAAATTAATATAATTTGGTTATTCCTGTAAATTTTAAAATAAGTAATTTTTACATACATAGGAAAAAAGTTGTTAACTTAAAATATAGTAGGCAAAAAAAATCACAAATTCGATAAAAATGTAAATAAATGTGTATGTTTACATTTAATACTTTTGTTAAATTCCCAGGAATAACAAGTTATAAATATTTTTGATTTTGACAGGGTTTTAGTTATTTAAAATATTTGAGAACCCCCCATTTTTTATAATTTTTAACTTTTATCTAATTTAAAGCTCTTCAAATAAAAAGATATCCAAATAAAAAGTTTTTAAATAATTCGTAGCTTAGTTATAAATAAATAAAAATGGATATTTTTTGTTTGGATTATAGTGGGGTATTTTTAAATTTTAGAGTTTAAATAAACTCCCAAACACCCTGTATAAATTAAAATGTTATATTTAAAAAATTTATAAATTTATCAATTACAAATTAAATGTAACTTCAGTAGTTTCTAAGGTAAGTAATGTCAATCTTACTTTTTCATTTGTACAGATGAGTAAAAATTGTTAAGAAAAGTACTCACTTTAAGGTCAAGATTTTCATTAAACAAACTTTCGTCTAATCTTTGTCTATAAGATTTGGTATATATAGGTCTGTTATAATAACCAACTTCATAGTCAGGTTCAAACCAGTATGAACCATAATGAGAATAACGGTATGGTAGGTAAACCATATTTCTAAAATTAAGTTTTAAAATGCAATAATTTAGTATATTTTTAATTGCATTGGGAATATTATTCAACAAGTCGGTACTTACAATGAAAATTATCTAACAGACAGTGGTTTAACGAATTTTGTAATAATACTAAATCAGTTGTTACCAACGGACAACTTTAACAGTTTTATTTTGGACGAAATCCAATTTTAAGGAACTTTTTATAGAACTGTTGCTTTATTCAGTTATACAATAATTTTGCCAGATCGATACGATTTACATTTAACAGGCCCACTTTGAATGAGAATATCTTGGCAGTAAAATATTTATTTTATTTGTGTTGTTTTTTTTTCGACTGCCAAACGTATTGTGATACAATGTATATTTTCAGTTTTATTGGTATATGGTAAATGTTTAAATTTAGAATATATAAAGTTTTTTGCTCTTAAAATACCTCAAACTGGGACGTTTAATATTTCGTAAATAAATTCTTTATTTAACGATTTTAAATATAAATTGCAAAAATGGCGAATGCGCCGGGATGAGTGATAATATTTCTGTCATACTAATAGAAAATATCGAGAAGTTTTTTTATTTTTTATTGTACAGCAACATAATAGTATATTATGTATCAAGTTTAATTAAGGCCATTTTAGTCATGAATTTAATTTAGGCACGAGCGAGCTTGCCAGCGAGTGCTTAACTAAATAAGTGTCTAGAAAGGTTTATAAACAAGTTACATGCTATACTTTTTCTACGACAAAAACTCAATTTTTTATGGAATTCGCTCTATACAAATATTTATTTTAATTAATTTTTAGATAAAAATAAGTAACTCGCGTAACAATTTCTAACTTAACATCGCGCCAGACAAAATGTCAAATATGTTATGGGTAAATCGAAATTTATACCTTGAAAATGGACTAACAACTGTTAAAATGATGATTTAGAAGTAGTTTTATGGGCACTTTACGGTGGAGTCTCCACCAGAAATGTTTAATGCTTCTAGTTAAATCTAGTTTACTGCCGGCAAAATTAAAATATTACTAAAAATTGCATATAAACTTTTCAATAGGTATTTGCGTCAAGAAACTATTTTATACTTTTTATTTTTGTATTAAGATAATAAAATAATTATTCTTTTTGATGTGACATTGATAACTGTCAACTTCAGCCCGTGTGTGTATTTAAAAGTTCACTTGGTGTTATAAAAACATGTACGATAATAATAAAAGGTGGAAGTTTAAAAAAACGTTTATACAATCTAAACTTTGTAATAAAATATATACATATAATATAAAATGCAAGTACAATTTGTATTTATATTTATATTTAAAAATAGTTAAAAAACATGTAAAAATCATAAATATTTATATAAATTTCGATACCCAATAATAAAGCAATAAATAAATATAGCAAATTATTATTTTCATATTTTGGTAAGTAAGCCAATGAAAATAAATTGAATACATCCTTTAATATCATACTTATTTATAATTTTGTGCAAATGTGCCAAATATTACAAAATCCGACGAAAATAAAAAATAAAATAACCCAATTATATAAAAATAAAGTTTATTAAGTATATTTCGGTGGTTTAACATTTTTTTATTAACAAATAAATAATCATAATTATATCGTAATCAGTGCAACTTTCATTAGTAATAATATCTGCCACGGCGTGATGGGATTGGCCAGTATCCCATAAGGTTTTCTTGTTGCTAAAAGATTATAATAATAATTTATTTATAAAATAAATATCAATTTGATTATAAAAGCCTGTCATACTTTTATATTCTAAAATTTTTGTTTGTTTGTATTAAATTTGTCAATTGGCAAATAAATTTAGTACCTTATTACTTAAAAAAAATTCGCTGCAATTTTTTTATGCAGTACATTTCCTGTTAAATAGTTTTATTAGGCTTATGTTTGTGTATGTAATAAAGTCTATGTCAGTTTATTAAAAGTATGAAAAACTTTACGACCAAATTTAGCAAATATTGAAATTTTATTAATTTCTTAATATACCTGCTGTTAACAATATTTACCTACTAAACTATTTTTTTTTATTATTATGAGTTTTGTGATTAGACTTTTCAACATCCAATTGTAGGGCAATTAATTTTTTAACGTTCAATAAAAAATTAGGTAAACAATATTGCTTCCAATTTATAAAATTTAATATAAGTGGGAATATTTCTTTAAAGAAAAAAGTTATCTGATTTATTCACTTTACAAAGAAATTTAAACTAAATTAATTTAATTTAAATTTAAAAAAACTCGATATTTACAAATAAAATTTAAAAGTTATAAAATAATTAGATTTAAGTTTTAAAACTAAACTAAGTTTAGGCAAAACATATCTTGGTCTAATAAAGAATAGGTGAAAAAAAAACAATAAAGCTAAAATATTTAATAGTTACCCACTTTATATTTTTTTTTAATCTATATTAAAAATAAAACCATTGCATTGTCATTTATCACATTGTAATTTATATTATTTGATACGCTTTGTATAATTTATTTATATAAATATGCATACAAAATGCCAATTAATTAAATCACAAAAATGTAGAAAATTGGTTTTAAAATTAATATTAAAGTTTTTTTTATTTCTTTAAAATAATGTTTAGGCCAATGTCTTAAATAAAACGTAAGACAAGATATTTTAATAATTAATATTCTTTTTTTTAATAATGTTTTATCACCTTAATTTAAGTAAATTTAGAATGCTAAATCTGCATATTCCACACCTACTTGCATTGACCTATTTAATATTTGAAATTCGTTGAAAATCGCAATTTATAAAGGTTTCAAATGACTTACGCCCAAATCTCTGACGGAAGTGTACGAGGACAAATAATCGACAAAGTATTTCCATGAGCCCCAGTCTCTGCCTGTCCTTTCCCACAAAGGCCACAATGACGAGTATTTACCCTACAAGGTAACTTTGTAAAAGTATGTATCTTTATGCAAAAACCAAGTAAGGTTTTTTAAGTTATTTGTCTGGTTTAAGTGTTTTAAATCAATATATGTTTTTTGGTTTTTTCCATATATGTAACTTTATACAAATTTAAATAAATTAAATTAATTAAAATTTTTTATAAATAAAAAAACAAATAATAAAGACAATTAATTAAAATACTTAAGACCATAAGCAGTTGTTTTAAAAATAAAAATATTGTCATATTTTAATTGAAAAATGAGGTTCCTGTTTTAGTATGCTTTAAAATAATTGTGTTTGAAAATTTAATATTATTTAAACTTTTTGTAAAGGTTATGGTGGTCCTTATTTGAGCTTTAAGTAATAAAATTTAAAAATAAAAGGGTTCATATGTTAATTAACGTTCAATTGTAAATTTTAAATTTTTTGTAAAGGATAGGGTGGTCCTTATTAGAGCTTTAATTCATAAAATTTGAAAATAAAAGCGTTCATATGTTAATTAACGTTCAATTGTAAATTTTAATTTTTTTTAAATTTTAAAAATTTATAGAAATATATTTTTATTATTAAAATTTTTATAATTTCCAGAATTTTTATAAAATTTTAAAGTGTTTTAAAATTTTTAAAATTAAAAAAAAAGCTCAAGCTTGTTATTTTTGTCGCTAGTGCAAAAAAGTCTATTTTATAACATGTATTATAACAAGGTTGTTTATTTCGTGCATATGTACACAGAATAATAATTTTATATAAATTAAACTGAACATTTATTAACTTATGAAGGCTTTTATTTTCAAATTTTATGCATTTAAACTTTTTTGTAGATCGTTAAATTCTCTACAAAATAGTACATTATAGGCCAGGCGGAGAAAGCACATATTATTGAGTGCGAGGCAATTTACCACCGTGTCTTATATACTATATTTTTTGTAGCATTTAAATAAGTTTTTAAGATTCTGTCACATAATTTATAGGTTAGGTTCAACTGACATTATGACATTTTAGCTTCATTTTTGTAGGGAGGTTAATAATAATATGACTTTTGAACTAGTAAGTATTTCTATATTGACTTATAAGATGAAAATGTGGTATAATAATGGTATTTTCGTAGAAAATTTCGATCACAAACCAGATTTTTTTTTACGATTAAAAGACCCTGAAAGCATAACAATTCGAAAATATTCCAAATAAGAACCCCCTTGCAAACGTATGTTTTAAAGCATTTAGGTTATAGCCATGTATTTATTTTAAAACACAAAAACTTGATTTCTTGACCAAAACCAACTTACACGGGTATAAGACTCCTTTTTCTCGTTTTCTTCGCCAACATATAGGGGAGTAAAGTTTCTTAAAGGTCTAGCATAACTGTGGCGAACCTGGAAATCGGGATCCCAGGTTGGATCCCTCCAGGTTGAATCATAAATGGAATTATACCTTGATGAACGACGGTACAAACTCATCTCTAAAAATGTCTATTTTTAAGTAATCTAAGTAATGTAATATAAAGGTACTTAAATTAACTAAAATTGTTGATTTTCTTAATTTTTATGTTTATGTTTTTAAAATAATTATTTTAACAACTATCAGACGGAATTAACCTCACATTTTGCCAATTTATAATAAATCTAAATTCAGCCCGTTACTAAAACGTATTCACAAAAAAACCTTTTATGTTTGTAAATAACTAGTAAAAGAATAAGAAAATCAGTGATAAAGTCAATCAAATATAAGTTGTTTAAAACCTTGATTTGTCTTGTAAGAATATAATAAAGAATTTAATTTTACTAAAAGTTTTGTCATTTTTTTTATAAACGTTTATAATCAATCAATTGTATAAAGTTCAAAGTTTTCAGTATTAATATTTTAAAGACAAACCAAATCATAGAAATGTAGTATAACAATATAAAATTATTTTATTTTATGTACTTACTGCAAACTTGTATTGACACTGTAACTTGTTTAATCGATTTCAAAATCGCACTAATTTTTGCTTTCGTCTGTACATGCATATTACGGAAAAGCATTGGAAAAAGTCCAAAAAACATCCCCACTATGAGGTTTTATGAGGTCTATAAATCTTGAATTTATAAACCAAAGTTTTATCTGAAAATGACGGGTCTGGAAATGTTGTTGTTAATTCGACTTTTTAATAATATCAACGCGTTTATATTTACGCAGTGCGTAGGATGTTCTAGCTAGATATTAAATAACATTTTCACAGAAAAATATTTAAATTCGAAATTTTAGGATATTTTTAACAATATGTACATATACGTATATTTTTAACAATATGTATAAACATATTATATGTATAATACTTATATTTTAATAGTGATTTATACAAAACTTAAAAAGAAGTATTTGAATTTTAAATAAAAAACCTTTTAATTGAAAAATCTTATTTAATGAATGTGTTAGTTAATTTGTATAAACATATTATATGTATAATACTTATATTTTAATAGTGATTTATACAAAACTTAAAAAGAAGTATTTGAATTATATTTTAATAGTGATTTATACAAAACTTAAAAAGAAGTATTTGAATTTTAAATAAAAAAACCTTTTAATTGAATCTTGTTTAATGAATGTGTTAGTTAATTTGATATAATATTAGTATATTATTATATAAGAGATAATACGCACATTCTCTAGTGTAATACCATACTTTTTCTTCTCCATTAAGTAGATATTTAAATGATTTTTAAAAATAAATAAATAAAACTTGACAGCTGTCAAATAGTTAACCTTACTAACAAAACTATCACATACAGTGTGTCCCACAATTAGTGCGACAAAATGAAGGTGTATTATCTACAGACCCCCAGAAATTCCAGAAAATTATTTAAAAAATTCTTCCTTCATTATTTAAAAAGATACAGGGGAGTCATATTTTCTAGGCAACATAGTTTAATTCTTAATCATCATGTTAACATTGTTGTTTGTTGTCATGATGATTAAAAATTAAACAAATACTTTGTTATGAGGCAATGTTGCCATTCAAAGAAAACATGACTCCCCTGTATCTTTTTAAATAATGAATGAAAAATTTTTTAAACAATTTTCTGGAATTCCTGGGAGTCTGTAGATAATACACCTTCATTTTGTCGCACTAATTGTGGGACACCCTGTATAACATAGTGGGCCATTTCTGTTTGGACGGTAGACGGTGGCTGATTATCTTTTACCGCTCTCGCTGTACCTGTTAGACTTTTGAAAACAGTTTTTTGAATTAAAAAAATTCAATATAAAATATTAAGCATAGTAGTTTTTATCGAAAATTTACTTTTCTTTTAATTATGAAAATTGATTTTTTTCTTGTATAAAATCGAAAGTAAACATTTTAATTCAGAATTTTAATGATTTTTCAACTTTTTTTAATTCTTTAAATTTTACAACATGGCCTAAATTATACAGATAATACACTGAAAATTTCAACATGGGATCTACATACATTAGTTAGTAGAAGATAGATAAATTAAAGTACATATAGGTAATGTAATTATATAACAGGGTTTTAACTTTCAACAACGTTTATAAATGTCATCCATTTATAAAAACCTATTTTGACTTTCACAAAATAATAACATTTTATTTCTTTTGGCGCTTTTATTAAATAAATATACTCTTTACAATTAATTTATGCTATTTATACTATGTTATATTTATATTTTATGGAAGGGGAAGTATACGTAGTCCAGTTTGACTAAAAAAATAAAAAAAATGTAGGTATATAGTAGTAATACAAAAGTGTGCGGCTCCTAAGAGTACGCGGAACTAAAGGTGTTAAAATTTATTTGTGTATGGGCCAATAAAATATCCTAGTCGTATACTATCAGAAAAAGCTCCAACCTCACTTTCTCCCACTTGTTTATCCGTATTTATTTAGGCTCGTAATTCTTTTTATCTGCCTAGGGGTCATATTAAATTAAAGTTTTTAATGATATTTACTCCCTGCGTACTCTTAGGCACCTATATATAACTGTACTACATACTTGATAAATCTTATCTTTGAAACGTCCCATTTCGTCTATATAGTGCCAAAAACGCCAACTGGGCCAATAAGATCTAAACTATAATTTTATAAAAATAAAAAAATATTGTTTAAATAATAAATTAAATATTATCTTACTTTATAACTGGGAATATAATCATCCATATAATATTTATAATAAGATCTCCAAGTTGGCCAATATCTCCAGGACTGCCAATCGTACGGCCAATATTCATCGTAGTGATACAAACTGGTCGAGATTGGCTTGTAGTAATAACTGAATTCGAATCTGTAATCTGGACCTAGCCAGTATTTCTTGTAATCGGAATATGATTTTCGTTGATACACCATATCTAAATGTGTCAATTTATTTATGATAACTTTAATATATCGTAGGAAAGTGTTGAAATATTTCTTTATTATTTCTTTTAAACGCAGATCTTTGCCACAAAATAGGTTTAAATCAAATGGAATATGTTAAACAATAAACTTTTATTTAATTACTACAAAATTAATGTTTACAACTAAAATCAAAGACATGTATGCCTATTTAATTAATTATAAAATTATTGCAATATTGGGTTTTAAATAAAAAAAAGTATTTCGGTGTATCGTATCATTTATTTAAAGCACTATATTTCAGCTGATTATCATATATGTTTTATGTATTTTAAGAAAACAACTGGGATTTTAAAAATACTGGTTGTTTGTCTACTAATCAGTAGGTGGTGATTTATGTATTTTTCTGTAGAAATGTTTTATTGAACACATTCTATTTAATAAAAACAAACATTGTATTGCGAAACTTTGATATATCCGAGGATATATCTCTATTATTAAAGATAGGAGTGGTCTATAAATACATTTTGCATGGAAAAAAGGTCATTGAAACTGTTTTCCACTAAATTCAAATAATTATATTAAGTTCTTAGCTCATCAGCTCAAGTTATGGTATATTTTAGTAATGTATCCTCTAAAACTTGGCTTCTTAGACCATATATTAACATAACAATATATTTATTTATTTTTTTATTATATTAGTAGTTATTTCAGTTTGTAAGAGAAAAAGTCCGCTAGAGCCATGTCAGAAGAATACAAGGCTTATTATTACTTGTCAAAGTTTTGCCTAAAATTAGGTTACTATAATGGAAAAAATTTAGCTCTTTGAGACCAATAGGAGTGATTTCTTTGTTATAAGCCGATGGACTTTTGTTTAATTATAAATAAAAATTAAAAAGTGGTATTAGAAAATAATCTACTTATTAATATCAATTCACGATTTAAAAAATTCATTTGTTTATTTGCAATGTTCGATCAAACAAAATTATGAAAATTCTTATTATCGTGCTATTTATCATTGTTGATAATTTATATAATTTTTTTAATAAACAAATTCCGCAATCGCTCGGGAGCACGGTGGACTGGAATGGCAAAATGTAGCCAAAAATCCTTTAAAAAAACTGATAAATATATTATTATGAAATTTAAACCCTTATTTTATGGTATTAATCTTGATCCCATACAAATTTTAATTTAATTGGCTTAGTGGCGGCGGTTAAAAATTAAATTATCCTATAAACTATTTAAAATATTTATTATAAAAATTTAACACCAGTTTTAAGTATTAATAATAATAATAATAATAATAATAATATTCTTGATTTTGTACAAATTTAAATTTAATTAGGTAAGAAGCGGCGATTTTATGCTGGTTTATTTAACCTTCTAAAAAATATTACGTAATTGATTAGATTTAATACCCTGAGACCTAAGTTATTTGGAATCAAAAGTATGTGATTTTTAATTTAAAATATTTTAAAATATACTTTTGATTGTAAATAACCTATTTTCCAAGATATTTAAACTAATCAATTACGTGGTGTTTGTGCTATACTTGTAGGTTATACCACTATATTTTCGCCGCAACACACACAACTTTGTTTAAATTGTATTAAATTAAATAGTTTACAAAATAATGTAATTTTTATATTTAATATAAATTTAAACCAGTATAAAATTACCACTACCTATTAAATTTAATTGAAATTTGTATGGAATCAAGCTTTCTGGGGAACGGCAAATGAATTTTAAAAGCGTTTATAATCCAATTAAATCTTTTTTTAAATATTTTGAACAAAATTCAAACATCAACTTTGTTATTTCAAATAACAAAACACCATACATATTTTTACATTTTTAAATTCCTCATAAAATTCTGAGTAAAATGACTAAATCATGTCCGAGACCTAAAGTGAATAGTTTTCGAGTAATTAATTTTTTTCGTTAAAATTTGACAAATGCGCGTTAATCAAAAATAGTTTATAACTTTGTCGTTTGCGGATATGGTAGTTAACATTTTTGAAATCTTAAAACATTGTTTAAAAGATTTCATATCAACTCTTTTACATATCATTACAAATTACTTGAGAAAAACCATGACAAACTATGCCAAATAAAACGTTATTAACTTTTATATTTAAAATATAACACCCAATATGTTTTTATATAATCGAATAGGAAATTAAAAAACATTTTGATTGATATAACTCTTCCCTATACCTAAATTTAATAACATTTAGTAATAAAAATTGTTAATTAAAATATTGTTGGTTTATTAAATTGTTACAGTTACGCATCGTTTTTGGTTTAGATTTTATTGTCTCCAAAGAGCTATTGCTTTATCTAGTTGACATCCCACAGCTTTGTTGATTTTTTTGTCAAAATTAGCAAATACTTTTTATCCGAAATCAGCAGTAAAATAGTCAAAAATCGGCAGTAGAGTAAAAGAAATTGGCAGTAAAGTGAAACTTTACTGCCGATTTAATAAGAGTATTGTATGCTATCCATTATACATTTTATGATGTGTCTACTGCTCCTCAGCAGCAACTAAATGATATTTAAAAAAAGCACCATCACGGAGGTCGATTGGACCCTTTCATAAAATGTTTTTTAATAAAAATAATAAGTTAATTTTATTAATTAAATTAAAAAATCGCCGCGGCTGGGAAATATATTATAACCGTCGAGCAAACATTTCCCACATTAAATTTTAAACAATGACGTGGTAACCATAGATACCGCCAACTGGTTGGTCACAGGTTTCTTCATACAAAATAATATTTAAAATTTTAGAAATTGTTTAAAACCTAAATTATTAACTTGAGGTATACATCAATCGAAATATTTTGTAATTTACATGTTTACAGGTTAAAACTTGTTTAAAAAATTGAAATGGAATCTCAATCTGTTTTAAAGTTCCAAAAATTCTACTCCCATATCCATATTTTTGATTGAGGCAGATTTATCAACTTTTAACGAAAAATATAAATAACTCGAACACTATTCAGGTATACGTAGGTATATGACATAGTTTAGTAATTTTATTTGAAATATAAAAATATATGGAGTGTTTTATTTAAAATAAAAGGGTTGATGTAACTTCCGGTTCAACCGGAAGTTACATCAATGTTTGTAATATCTTAGAAAAATATAGTTAAATTATTATTATAAACGCTTCAAAAGTTTTAAATCAATATCTTTTTCGGTTCCCCAGAAATTTCTAAGGGACCACGAATGTGAATATTTTTAATGGTTTTTAAAATAATTTAAATTTTAACTAACTTTAACAATATTTTAATTATTTAAACAAATTTACAAAAGGATGCACACTATATAAAATTAATTTAAAAAACTATGTATATTTATATGTTATTATAATATATCCAGTGGTTTTTTGTTTTAAAACTTTTACTAATAAGTAAAATGTATTTTAAAAATAACAACTTTTAAAAATCACTTTTCTGAAATATTTTTAGATCATTTTTCAAAAAGTCACTTTTTGATAATATTCCAACATTTCGCCCACATTCAAATGACATCCCAATTAAAATTTACGACAAGACTTGTTTGGAAAACACATTAATGTGTAGGTATACTTACTTGGTGATTCGGTAGGACCAAGTCGTCGCAGTATCGTAATTACACTAATTAACTCGTATCAATCGTTTGGATGAGGATGAGAGCAGCGCGATGCGTTGGATCGCGTCCAACGAATTCTGAGAAAGGAAATTGTACGGTCGAAAGTGCAAATGTCGTATGCCAAATTATGCTAATTGATGGGTTTAATTATTCAGTTTATCATTTATAAATGTCCAATAATCGTGCACCTAGACTTATAACAGCAATTAAGCAATTGATATTTATATTTATAAAACTTTTTACAAACATTCATTTATATCTTATGATTAACTATACGCTAAAGAAGCATTGGGTTTTCGCACACGCGCGCCATCTGGTGGCGCTCGATAGCACTATCGAACTACAAGGTTTGTCAACAATAAATTTAAAGCATACGAACTGCACATTTTTTTTCACAAAAGAGAGAAAGGCAGAACTCTCACTCGACAAATTTTATTCGCCAAGTTGCAATTGCGTATATATAAAATTAAATATATATGCTTATGTATTTACGTTTGGGTATGTATTTTATCCAAGTGATCATACTGAATTATTCTGTTTTTAATTGTAAATGTAATTTGGATGTTGCATTTTCATGTTTTGCCAAAGTATCCAATTCTGTAGGTATATTTGCTGGTGCAGAATTAACTAATGATAACTTAATTTATATTTAAATTTGGACGTATTTAAGAAATTTCACTTAATTATATTTATACAAACATAACCTTAAAATAAAAAAACTTTTATATTTAAGTCCGAGGTAAGACAAAATATATCTATAGATTCGTATACGAATTCATGACAACATAATATTATACAGGGTGTACCGATAATAGTCTGGAAAACTTTATATGAACATGGCTCGGTAAATGTCCCCTAAGGCACCTACTCACCGAAAAAAATAATGTAGTTTGCCTAAATGTCATTTTTCAAAATGTGGTTTTATCAAAAAACCTATAGTCAGTTTGTCAAAGTTTATTTGTTCATTTGACAGTTAAAATATTGATTTAACATAAACTAATTTTTTGAAATAAAATGTTTATCATATTTTGATTTAATAGCTGGAATTGGTTAAAAGAAATACTGAAATTTTTAGGATTACCTAAAAAACTATTAAATTAACAAATAAAATTTGTTCATTTAACAAATTGTAAATGTTACTTTAAAATTTGTTAATTTTGCATTCATAAAATTGCCGTGAAGGGCGCTTCGAACACCCACGCCACCTCATTAGACGGTGTTGATCACGTGATGTTCTTACATCTCGCGTCAGTTACCTTACAATAGGAGTATATAAGCTCAGGTAGTCGTTTGTTTTTGGCGTGTTCCACAGTGGAACTTCCACTTCACCAAATTGCACGACACTGATTATCAGTGACTGATAAGACCCCCCAATAAACGTTCGACCCTGATAGCACAGTTTATTCTAAGAATGTTTTTTAAACCTTCCAGTGGAAATATTCTTAGGATCATGCTTTATTTCTTCTAGTCATGTTCTAAGAATGTTTTTTAAACCTTCCAGTGAGAATATTCTTAGTATCATGCTATATTTCTTCTAGTAATGTTCTAAGAATGTTTTTTAAACCTTCCAGTGAGAATATTTTTAGGATCATGCTATATTTATTCTAAAGAACATGCTTAAAAGAAATATAGCATAATCCTAAGAATATTCTCATTGGCCTATAGGCAGGTTCTTAGAAGGTGCAAAGTTTAGTGGTAAATCCACTCTAAACATATGCTTAGAATGTTGAGAAACTAATTGCTATAGAAAGTTCATTTAGGAATATTCCTGGAATATTCTGTTAAGCATATTCAGTTCAGTTAGGTACCTATATAATAGTAAAATATACCATAATCTACGTATAAAGGTACCTATACTTAGTATTAAATACTAAGTAAAAAACACAACCCAAAATATTTTTTTATAGTTATTTGTCAAATTAAAACAATATTCGATAACAAAAATACTTTTACTATAGGTATCTAAATTATCCGGCTTTTACATACAATCTTCTATACAACTTAAATACAATAAAAAACGTTTTTTTATGAAGAACTATTTGGTTTTTTCTTTTATGAAGAATTATTTTATAAGGAAATATATTGTTTTTTATATTATATTTTATGTTAAAAATAATTATTTAATAATTTGTATACCGATTTTTTATTTCTGAATTAACATTTTTATGTATAATAATCCTAACTATTTTCAACTTCAATCTAATCTGACTTATCCCACAAAATTTTCCAATTTTACTTTTTATGAAATTATGTCATACAACTTATGGTTTAGTGGTCAAATTGTTTATTTAATATTTTTAGATAAATATATATTAATATGTCGCAAAATTTTTTAAGGGGACGACAAATACATTTCACTGTCATATTATGACAGTGAGGCGTATTTGTCGCCTCCTGAAGAATTTTACTAATGTAGAATCCAACATATTAGAACGTGGGTATCTGACATATTTGGAAATATTCTCAAAAGCTTCCTAGAAGCTCCATAAAAAACCTTCTAAGAACATTCCAAAAACGTATTCTTAAAATGTTCTTAGAATGCTTTTTAGGAAGGTTTTAAGAAGCTTCTAAGAATCTAATTGCATTATTAAAAGGGTATCTATTGAATGTTTTAAAAGTCCCTAAGAACATTCTTAACAATAAGGGAAGGTTCTAAGATTATTCCTTTATTCCGGGTCATATCTTCTTAGAAGATTCTTAGAATCAAATTTTGCTATCAGGGGAATCAGCTGTCTGTCGGTAGGTATTTGAAATGGGTGGAACGCACTCAAAACAAAAACTCTGGCGAGGGAATGTTCAATTCTTTCTCTTTATATTAATTCCATAATTTAATTAACCCAGCGCAAATTACTTTAATTTAACATTTTATTGGTGTGAATATGCTAAAAAGGTTACCTGGACATTTCAAGAAATTTACCTTAACATCTTAAAAATGTTAGCACAACCATTTTCGAAATATTACTCCGACATATCAAGACTGCTTAATTAACCAGATTAGCAGATTAGAACAAATATTCTCATTTTGTTAATTTGACTAATATTTGTTGTTCAATTAAACAATACAATTTGACATTTTTAGATGGTTAAGTAAACGTGCAAAAACCATTGCTTGTATTTAAAGTGCATAAAGAGTTGAATTAATATTTTTTTGTTGTTTCACCAGCTTATTTTTTTCAGTGCAGTCTGTAGGCTACAGAACCCCTAAAGGGGCTCCCTTAATATTTTTTATTATTATTATTTCAGAAACGGTTTGAAATAAAATAATGAATTTTCTGGAAATATATTATTACGTATTTTGTTATTAATATTTCTTGTTAAATATAGAAAATTAAATTTTTTTTAATGAGTTATTTTATTTTTATTTGAAAATGGCGCATTTTATTATGTTGCAAAAAATTGGCCACCAAAAAATTGTAGCTAAATATACCCTGTTTAATACACTAATTAAAAAAAGTTTAAAAGTTTATGAATTTTAAAATTTAGCATAAAAGTTAAATAAGCATACCAAATTTCATTATTTTATCTTAAACTGTTTTGGAAATATTAATAAAAAACCATCTTCGGAGGCCCACCTTTAAGAAGATTCAGGTCCCTTAGGGGACATTTTCCGATATATGTTTATAAGATGATTTATTTCTGTTATTGTCTTTAGAAACCACGTGTAAAATATTGCACATTATTTTTGGACAACCCTGTATTGAATGCTTAATATAATATCCGTTTTTGGTCTTTTACCGTTGAGTAAATACTTTCTTAATCAACGCTTTCAATAAATTATATTTTATGAATTTTACTAAATATAAATATTTACAATTTTCACGTACATTATTAATAAAATGTGTAATTATTGTATCTAATATAGGGATAACTTATTGTTTCATTCGGATTCCCACTGTTTATTGGCAAACCTGTAAAAACTCAACCCCGGATTTTTTCACTAAAAATACAAATCGTTCCACGGTATTTTTTATCGATATTTTAAACATTTTCCCGCCTTATTCTGACAACTGCTTATTAAAAGCTGTAGTTTTCTTACGATGATGATGGCGTATACCAAATATTTTATTAATAGTAGGTATTTAAAATTAAAGGTTTTAGAAAATATATTTTTTTTAAATTCAAACACTAAAATTGTTGTGCGCTTTAATGGTATGGACTGCCCGTCAAAATTAACGCATAATAAGAAAAAAACTCTAAAACGCCTTTACCAATCTTTATAAAATTTTGTATAAAAATACTTCAACTTATATCTCAGTTTACGTGTTCGAGGGTTTTTCGAGAAAATATTTTTAAAGCCTCAATAACTTTTAGGGATTTTTTTTTAACTATATAAAAAATATGCTGTTAAAAACCGTATTTTTGTTAGTATACCCTGAAAATTTTGTACAAATCAAAATAACAGTACCGAAGATACAGCGCTCCAAAGTCGGTAAAAATGACCCTTTTTGATTATTTTGCTGAAAAGTGGTCATTTTTACAAAAAATTTGACGACTTGAAAGCGCTGTATTTTCGTTACTGTTCGTTTGATTTGTACAACATTTTCAGGGTATACTAACAAAAATACGGCCTTTCACATCATATTTTTTATTTACTTAAAAAAGCCTCTATAAAAGCTTTTTTTTTAGCGTTTTTTATTATTAAATAAAAGGGCTCTAAGGATATTTTAACTGAGATATAGAAGTATAAGTATAAGATATAAGTATTTTTATTCAAAATTTTATAAAGATTGGTAAAGGCGTTGTAGAGATAGATTTTTTTTACTTGTTATGCGTTATTTTTGACGCGCTATTTAGTTAGAAACTGAATAACAAATTTAATAGAAATATTTTTCGATACATATACATATATATATATAAAGGTAGCAAAAAGATTTTGTCAGATTTAAAATTTAAATGTGCAACTTTTTTTAACGGTTCTCTTAAAATAAGCGAGATACTCATGCTTAGCCTCGGCGTTACTATACAGGGTGTTAACGAAAGGTTGTCAAAAAATTTACCAGGTGGTTTCCAAAATATTTAAAATATGTTATATGGATTGTGATATAAACATAGAGCGAGAAATTATTATTTATTACTGTTGGTCCAATATGGCAAAAAATTAACATGTTTTATTTATTTATAGTTAGTTTGGTATAAAATATTAGGCATTCATACAGTTTTAAAAATATTTAAAAAAAAACATTTCAGGGACGGACTTTTAAGGGGCTCTCGTTCACTTAGGAGTCTTTTCTCGTTTTCCTGTATGTCATTTTAAAATAAAACCATTAAAAGTTTTAATAATTTTACACTTTATTTTAAAGTTAAAATTTCTTTCTTAATTATAAAAAACTTTTTCCACTTTTATAAAACATAATTAAATTTAAACAATTTTAACTCAAATAGAGAAAAAACGTTGGGATTAAATCTATAAACCAATCCCCTATTCCGTTCAAAAAAATTCCTTTTAAAATGAGATTTCTTTATTAATTCAACATTAATTAAAACCATGTACTAACATTCACATTTTCATTAAATTCATTATAGAATTTGCGAAGACCATTTTTAAACGAATATCCCCATTTTCTTTATTAAGTTGCGAAGCTACGCATTAACCATTTTTAATGCCTTATTATTATCCGGTAAGTTCATTCATTTATTTGGATATATCATCCTGAGCAAGCTCATAAAGCCATTAGTCGAACACATTTTTTTTTATTCCAAGACCAGGAATCCTTCCGTATCATCTCAAACGTATTTGTAGGTTAGGGCGAGAGGGGTGTAGTTTCTTAACCTGAACTAAAATGGTAAACAAAAATGGAGATTTTGTTTATCAAGGGTGTCCCAGATCTTACATATAGAATTTATATTAAAGAAAAGCATAAAAAGTTCTTAAAGTTTATATTTGGTTGTAATAAAGTCTAAGTGTTGGGATTGTCTTGATATTAAATGCTTGTTTAATTCAAAATGTAAGTTCTTTTTGGAGAGACCCTTTATATAATAATACAAATAGTTTCAAAAATTATGCATAAGTTCACCTATTCCTGTAGCATTATGTGTTTCTATAACCTATATATAGAAAAATTTTTAATGTGGCTAAACCTATTTACCTAGGATTCTATTATTTCTAATATTTTTGTTAGTCAAAGACTAAACTAAACCTAACAGAGAATTAAGGTAATGCATAACTTTTTAAACTATGTATATATTTATGGTCTTACTTCAGTATCATTTTTGCGTGAATATAAAGCCATATCATCTATAAAACTAGAAAGGCGGTAGGCCCAGTTTGAGCTTCTATACTAAAATTTACATTAACAATTCAGTAAAAAAATTTAAATTACCACAGTTTATTATATCTTTATTTGAAAATTAAATTTACCAACCAAAGTTTCTGTATATTTTTTGTCTACGATTACTGCGATGTACAAAACAAAACAAAAGCAAACAGTTTGTATGAACATACGGCTAAAAATGCCTATTTAACAATATGAACGAATTTTAAAATTGCGATTAGGTTCAAAATTCATGACATCAGATCATGATGATCATAAATGCAAAATAGCAAAAATGTCCATCCTTTTTTTTATCAAAACCAATTACATTGTTGTTTATAAACTAATTAACCAATTCAAGTTTAATTTTTAACAAATTTGTGATTTGTTTAATGTAAATATTAAAAATTGTTTTCTTTGTAATCAAGCACTTTTTACCACGTGCTAATTTCGTCCTATTTTCTAAAAATAATACAATATATGTATTTTTGTTTATAAAAGCCTTACAAATATTCACTGCATACCTAAATAGTATATTAAAGCTATGAATAACAAAAACACACATAATTTATATAATTTATTTGAAATTTTAGCCATTCACTGACAACCTATAATTAAATGATATATAATATAATATATGGGGCATTCCACGCCAAATCGGATGGTTTAAAAAATTATTTTTTTTGATTCTTCCAATTTTTTTTATTTTTTTAGTACTCCTTGAAAGAGCTTTCTCAGTAAATTTTGAGATTTTTTTGATTACGGGTTCAAAAGATATAAAATTTTTAAAAAAACTGCTTTTTTTTGTTTTTGCTCATAACTTCTTAAAAAATGGTCCAAATCAAAATGTTCATTCTATATAAAATTTTCATTTTTAAATGTACTTTTAAAAAAAATATATTGAAAATATTTGAAGTCAAGATTTTTGAGTTTTAAAGTTTAAATCGTGTTTTTGAAAATGTTTGTCTTCTTCGATTTTCGCGAAAATTTTTTATTTTTAACTTCTATCTATTCAACAAGTATTCAGCCTGGTCCGGTAGTGGGCCTTCCATAATTACTATTTTTTTTCGAAACTTTTTTTTTTAATTTTGAAAATTAGTAATTATGAATGGCCCACTACCGGACCAGGCTGAATAGTTGTTGAATAGATAGAAGTTGAAAATAAAAAATTTTCGCGAAAATTGAAAAAGACACATTTTTAAAAACACGATTTAAACTTTAAAACTCAAAAATCTTTAGTTAAAAGCATATGCTTCAAATATTTTCAATATATTTTTTTTCGAAAAGTACATAAATTAAAAACGAAAATTTTATATGGAATGAACATTTTGATTTGGACCATTTTTTAAGAAGTTATGAGCGAAAAACAAAAAAAAAGCAGTTTTTTTAAAAATTTGATATCTTTTGAACCCGTGATCAAAAAAATCTTAAAATTTACTGAGAAAGCTCTTTCAAAGAGTACTAAACAAATATAAAAAAATTGGAGGAATCAAAAAAAATATTTTTTAAACCATCCGGTTTGGCGTGGAATGCCCCATATATATATAATATAATATATATATATAAATTATAATTTTAAAGATAGTAAATTTTACAAAAATGAGTGACGGGTAAGTTACCTTGGAATGACCCTTTATTAAAAACTGTCAAATTTTGTGAATAGGTTGTTTTTTGAACAAGATCTTTATAAATATTACATTTATATTTTCTTTTGGTTATTTTTTATTTAAAAATTATATGTTTTGTTTTTTACTTTTTTAAATAGGTATCTCATTTTGTAGGTTAACGTTTTTAAAAGAAATTGTACTAATGGGTGATTAAGTAAATTTTTTGTATCAAAAAAATAATTGACACATTTTTTTTCTTTGAAATTTTGTATCTACCTATACAGGGTACACCAATTATCCTTCTATGGGTATTTTCTTATTTGAAGAGCTCGGTTAAATTAGAAAAAAGTTGCATAATTATAAAAAACTACAAACCTTTCAAAACCAAAAATCGTATTCCCGGAAACACATTATTCTACACTTTCGTCCAATTTTTTTGCTACTTTATTTTGGGTTACTATCATATTTTGTTTGGTGGCCATAACTTATGGATAAAAATGTAGATAAATTTGTATGGTTACATTAGAAACACACTTTTTTAATATTCGAACGAATAACGATTGTTGGTTTTGACAGGTTTTCAGTTTTTTTCAATCTATTTGAGAACCGCTGATTTTTTTTTTCAAATTTTCAAATGCAATTTAAATAAAAAGATACCCATATAAAAGAATACTTGGTGCACCCTGTATAAGTAAATAAAATGTCGTAAATTATTTAAAAAGGTTAACTAATTAAAAAATATAACATTTCTTAAAAAAAAAAAATACAAGAAACTATACAAAATCATTTTTTTTTCATGTTTTAATATTCCTTAAAATTATTTCACGATTTCTTAATTTTCAAATAAAGATAAAACAAATTTAAACAATTTGTTTCTTACTCTATAAGAGCTTGGCCAATAGTCGTCTAAAAGATATCTGTAGTATGACCTCCATGAGGGCCAATAGCTACTAGAGTACCAATATAAAGGCCAATAATTTCTGTACCATCGTAGCGGTCGGTAATAATAGTTATAATAATCTGGTTCTCGCCACAAAGAGCTGTAATAAGATATTGGGTATCTTACTAGGACCATCTCTACAAAATTTATGTATATATCAAAAGTAAATTATACAAGAGTATTGTTAATTTTTAAAATGTAATAAATTTTAAAGGTTTTATTTTTTAATAAATTAATTTGAAGTAATACTAATAATGATAATTGACTATATACTTTTAAAGGCAAAAGCTTGATATTTGCTATTAAACTTACTGACTTTTTTAGATGATTCTTACAATAATCAAAAATTTCGTAATCGTTTCGGTAATTTCACAACAAAACTAATTTAGAAAACGGCGTACTTTAGAATTTGAAGTATTATTATTTGGATTTGGTCCAAATCAATCCCCTCTAAAAGATACGTACTTATGTATGAGTAATCCGCATGAGTTAAATTTACCTTTTAATATGGCATATGAGCTCAGGTGCTGTTGGCACTTAGTCTCGTATGTAGGTAAAATGTGCGCCAAAAAATTACTGTGAGTAATTGGCGAGGCATTTTGGGAAGGTAGTTTTGGCAAGTTAGGTCTATTAAAAATAAATATAAATAAGAGTTTCTTTGTTTTGATTGCAAATATAAATATTTGAGGCTAAATATAAAAATTATTTATTAATAATTGCGTTTAATTATATTATTATATAGAGTGGTACCATTTATATATTTCAAATAATGTATGGTAGAGTTTTGATCCTTTTTTGGGGTCCAAGTTAAATTTTTAAATTTTGTACGCACACATTACATGTATGACTACATAATCACACTAAATAATATTCAAAGTACTCTAAATAATATATTTTTTTTGATATAAATTATATAAATATAAAACAAACTTTTAAATAAAAGAAAAAGTTTCCAGTTTTTATTAATTATTTCTAAAACAGTTAGTGCGAAAATAATGATGCTTTATTTCTGGGGTATTTTTTTGGGCAAGAAATCATCTCGTGGTCTCAAATCGGATAAATGATGCGAAACAGGGTCTACTCGGGGAAACTTTTTTGTGGGGTTTTGTTAACCCTTCAAACCTGGCATACATACACATGTAATTTTAGTAATTTTAGTAATTTAATTACTATCAATAGGCATTAAATTTCATTTGGAACCTAGTGTTCGCCCCCAAGTACATTTGTTTTGCTAAACTAATAATATATATATAATGGGGATGCGCATAATAACCGCAGTAACACGTTGACGACAGTTTGTCTTAGAGGGTCTTTAGATGATTTATATAAATATTTTTTAAGTATAAACTGGTGCAGTTTGTTCCTAAAAGCATGTACTAAGACATCTAAAACTAAATATTTTGGTATTATCTACACCTAAACCGTATAAAACACTCGATGTACATTAGGGTGTCCCTTATTTTTATTTTTTTTACGCATACCCTCTAATTATATTTATTACTTATTTATATACTCCCAGTAAAAATTTCAGCTCATTCTATAAACGGGAACCCGTGCCGACTTGCATCTGAACCCTCCGTTAGCCAACGTTAGGCGCGCGGTATTTTGTAACACGGTTGGTCGCTAGGTCTTCGATCGTAAGTCATTTTGTATTTGTTATTATGTGACTCTATATTATAAATTATTAAAAAATGTTAAATTATAGTTTTATTTATGTGTATACTTTAATAAAAATGAATATTTTTATAGGAAGTGGCTAGTTACCCGTGTGTCGGGTGAATAGGGCGTAAACTCTGAAATTGATAAACTTAATGGGTTTTACTCTAAATAACTAAAAGAGTCTATTGTGAGAGATGACTACCGAAAACTTATTGAACTAAGCTAATGCAGGACTTTCACGGTTTGTTAATTGCCGATGAAGAGCAGAAACAATTTCTTCTGCGTTGCGTGCAACAGCACAGAAATCTATATCCTAATTGTAAAAAAACACTTCATGACTGTATTTTTCTAATGATTTTATTAAATATGATTACTAATTAATATTATTGCTTTTGTTTCTATCATTTGTTTCACTAATTTAGTTGATTTTATCCCTTAAATAATAATATACTAACTAGTATTGCTAAAATACACTGTTATATGAAATTTCAGCTTTTCATAATCATTTCTTTTCTTGATGTCCTCCCAAAAATATTCCAGACAGTTCAATAAGTTTTCGGTAGTCATCTCTCACAATAGACTCTTTTAGTTATTTAGAGTAAAACCCATTAAGTTTATCAATTTCAGAGTTTACGACCTATTCACCAGACCCTTCCTAGCCACTCCCTGTGAAAATATACATTTTTATCAAAGTATACACATAAATAAAACTATATTTTAACATTTGTCAATAATTTATAATATAAGGGTCACATATAAAATGACTTACGATCGAAGACCAACCGTGTTACAAAATACCGCGCGCCTAACGTTGGCTAACGGAGGGTTCAGATGCAAGTCAGCACGGGTTCCCGTCTATAGAATGAGCTGAAATTTTTACTGGGAGTATATAAACACGTAATAAATATAATTAGAGGGTATGTGTGAAAAAATAAAAAATAAGGGACACCCTAATGTACATGCATGTGAACATTCTGAAATTATCCTTAAATTTCACAATTAAGATTTTTTAGCATCAAATATGTGTTATTTAGGTCCTAATTCGATAGAGTTTAGGGCCATTTATTTTTTTATCGTCAAAAAATAATTCAGGTTTTTTTATTTTAAAATACAATGCTCCAGATATTTTTTTGTGGCGAAACATTTTTAACAGGGTTTTTATCAAAAACGTTATCTGAAGAATTGTATTCCAAGATCAAGAATTAAAACAAAAACACCAAAAAAATTATGAGGATTTTTCCCCCTGTTTCATAATAATAATAATATTTATTTCTAAAAACGAAAATGTACAAAATTGTATAGGAAAACGTCAAAAATACAACAACACGCCTATGGTCTTCATTTATCCGATTTGAGACCACCAGATAATTTCTTAACCAAAAAATAACCCAGAAATAAAGCATTATTATTTTATTTGTATTAAATTAACAAAAACGTATTATTTTTCCTTAATTATAATTTACCGTAAAGTATATTTTCATGAAAATTCACATTTTTGTTATTTGTTCAATATAAAATTTGTTTAAATTATTTTTTATTTATTTTTGTAATAAAGTTGGTTCTAATAACTGCTGTTTATTTTCCAATTAATTACTGGGATCCATAGAAGTTTAGTTTTATGTATTTACTTTAATTCTAGATTTAAATAATTTATATTTCAGAAGGTATTATTATTAAATAAATCCATTAAGAGAAGAAAAATTTAAGCATAGTTTATTTGACGAACTACTCTTATTTTTCTATGAACTATCAGCTGGTGAAATTCTGATGATATAAACTGGGACATCCTGTATAATTTGTTGTAAATAGGTATGGCGAATACGCTGGGATATTATAAAATAATATAAATTTTATGTTTTTGTGCTCTTTTCATAAAAAATAATAATATTTTTTTATTGGTAGTTTTTTATCCTTAATATTTGAACATTACATTTACTTTTTAATAATATATCTTTATAAGAATTTTATTTAATTGAATAATAAACCAATAATTTAAAATAAGTTTTATTAAAAAAATATATAGATATTAAAATAACAAGTTAAAAAAGTCATTAAAATAAGTCGTTCTTATCATTTAAATCCATTCAATAGGAAGGTAGTTTCTGCTCCTAAACTGTAAAAATTTATAGCTTTAGTAATCTAGGTACTTTAAAGCACAAAATATTGAATTTACTTACAGCATCGTCTTTTTTATAAGAAAGTAAAGCCATATCATCAACGAAATTTTGCAAAACTTGTGGTCTACTTCTATACCTTATCTAAAAGAATTACCCTATCATAAACTCAAATAACTATTTAATACATTTTAACATACTCTTGTAGAAATAGGGATAATATCATCATCGTAATAATATCTTCTTGTATAGGTGGTCGAAGGCGCCCAATATGTAGGGGCGTACAACCTAGTAAATCTCGTTGGTCTAATATATTGGCTGTAATAATAATTTGGTCTTTGCCATTCTGACAACCAATAGGAATCTGGATATCTTACGTAAACAACCATTTCTAAAATACATGATTTTGTATAGAAACGATAAAATGCACTTACGTTTATATTTATATTAATACCGAGAGTAATAAATAGTACACACTTACTTATTTTTAAATTCGTTCGACTAATATAAGTTCGTATGTTAAAATATATGAAACACTGATTTTTATTGTATAAAAACGTGCATTTTGAATAAAAATTTCTGGAGTTTCTCCAAAACTCCCCCCCTTCGCCGCCATTCCAGAAAAGTGAGTCAGACACCTTAACCTACTGTGTATCAACAATGAATAAAAATAGAATAATGGCTTTAAAACAAATTGCTTTGATCATAACAATATTGTTGTGAAAGTGTAATCATTGGCATTTTTGCATGTTATTTACTTTTGTTGGTTTCATTTGTTTACGAGAAAATATATTGATTTTAATTGCGCAAAATTCAGTTTTTAATAAAAATAAAATTATTTATTGAATGTAAGTAATTGTTTCATGTTTTTGTTTTATATGATTAATAATATATAGCTTTTAAAATAGAGATAAGAAGAGTTAAAAAGATGATCAAGTAAAATAATGTTTTATTAAATTAATATTTAAATAATAATTTTTACATCGTTTTAATAATTACACTGTATATCAATTTAAAGGTAAGTGTTTTTGGGAAATAGTTTTCAAGTTATACGCTAAAGAAGCATCGGGTTTTTGCAACGCGCGCGCCATCTGGTGGCGCCTATAGAAGTAGAGCTGCACATCCTTTTTATATAAATAGGTAAGTAGTTTTTTCACAAAAAAAAAGCAAAAGTCTTACTCGACAATTTTATTCGCAATGTTCTAATTGCACAGTTAACTGTGCACGTTATTTGCGTTTCGCGTTGCAAGTAAAAACTGAAAAACTTTGCTTGGTTTAGGACTCGATTTCGATTTATTATTCTTTATATGCTTATATGGTTACGTTTGTGTGTGTAATTTATTTAAGTGATCATAGTGAATTATTGTGTTTTTAATTGTAAATGTAATTCAAGAACTAATCGGAAGTTGCATTTTAATGAAACATGCATGTTTTGTCAAAAGATCCAATTCAGCAGGTATATTTGCTGGTTTAGGTTTGGGAATATCATTTATACAAATATTATAAATATTCCCCAACACCAAAACAAAACACAAATGCTTAAAGTACTTTTCGCCAACGATGTCTTCAGAAGCGAAGTATAACTGTTTATATTTCAACTAATATATCACCAAAGTTGTCATTTTTTCAAGTAATATAATTTATATTTAAGTTTTGACATCAAATCTAACAAAAAAAAATGGTAATACAAACATAACCTTTAAATGAAACATTTTTATATTTGAGTCATAAAAAAACGCCGACAACTGCATTTTAAAATATATCTACAAAGTCATGGCAACATAATATTTTATATAATACATTATATAATAGGTACCCGTTTTTAGTCTTTTACCGTTAAGTTAAGACTTTCTTAATCAACGGTTTCAATAATTTATAATTTTATAATAATATTAATATAATATGCTATATATAATGCTGTTAATAATAATAATAATGATTGTTTTTAATTTTCACGTAAATCATTAATAAAATGTGTATAATAGGTATCTAACATGTACAATTAGTATTACATTATTAGTATATCAGGGATTGTATGCAATTTATTTCTTCATTTGGATTTCCACGTGGCCACGTGGCCGTCATCAAGCGATGCTTCTTTAGGGTATAAAGGTTTAAACATGTTATTTTATTTTATTGAATTTTTTAAGAGTATGTATTTTTATAAAAGATTTAAAAACAATTTTCCAATGACCATTAAAAAATAAAATAGTAATATTATATTAATATATATTAAATATACAGTGTTGGCCATAATTTTTGCAACCACTGTAAAAAAAATCTAACTCTAAAACGCCTTTATTATTCTTTATAAAATTTTGGATAAAAATACTTCAACTTATATCTCAGTTTACCTGTTCGGGGGTTTTTCGAGTAAATATTTTAAAAGCCATTTTATTTAATAAAGAAAAAACGTTCGAAAAATAACTTTTAGGGTTTTTTTTTTAATAAATAAAAAATATGTTGTTATAAAGACAGTATTTTTGTTAGTATACCCTGAAAGTTTTGTACAAATCAAATGAACAGCAACGAAGATACAGCGATTCAAAGTCGTCAAAAATGACCACTTTTCAGCAAAATAATCAAAAAGGGGCCATTTTTACCGACCTTGAAGCGCTGTATCTTCGTTACTATTTGTTTAATTTGTACAAAATTTTCAGGGTAGGTATACTAACAAAAATACGCTAAAGAGCATATTTTTTATTTACTTAAAATTACCCTAAAAGTTATTTTTCGAACATTTTTTCATTATTAAATAAAAGGGCTTTAAAAATATTTTCTCGAAAAACCCTCAAACACGTAAACTGGGATATAAGTTGAAGTATTTTTATCCAAAATTTCATAAAGAATAATAAAGGCGTTTTAGAGTTTTGGATTTTTTACAGTGATTCCAAAAATTATGGCCAACACTGTATATTAAAATAATATATATAGTCACGGCCAAATCTATATGGGTGCACGTCATCAATGAGATATAATGACGTCAGCATTACCAACTTTGAATTGTAAAGTTACTGCCGTTAAATTTGCTTTTTTAAGGCGTAATTCTGATGTGTTATTAAAAAGAAATCATTCATTTGCGTATTGTTTACCAAGAACTGTAACAATTTCCTTGTTTTAAAACGTTTTTTCACGAAATTATCAAAATAAAACCATTCACTTAGTAATTTTTGTGTGTGCCAGTTGGTAATAGCTTAAGGCTGGCGCGCACCGTTCAATATTATTGATGGGTCGCTGTCATTTTATATTTGACGTATTTTTGTAATTGTGACATTTCGTCCGGAAGCATCGTTTGTTGCAAATTATTATAAATAATATTATACATTATGTTTATAAGATTCTATCCCTGGATTGTGCAAACAATGATATAAGGCTTGTTGGCAACTAGCCGTTATTAGATTTCGAAGACATTGCGCCCTTAATTATTAAGGATTAATAATAAAATTGGGGAAATAATCAGACTTCAATTCTGACCTGGTTTGCTCTGATGACAAGGACGACTGGTAATTTATATATTTTGTGTTTCTGATAATTTAGAATTTTTTGTTATGTGCATATGTAATAAAAATATAATAAACTCCGTTTGTTTTCTCTTTAAACACATTTAATAAAAATTTGCCTGTAACAAACTCCTAATTAGTTAGTGCAGAAGATTATAACAAGGACGTTATAATTCCATCTTAATAACAGACCCCACCGCTATAAACAGTCAACAATACACGAGCGTTAGATTGTGTCTGGGCACGTATGAATAGACCTTAACGCTGACGTCATATGCCGTTGATGACGTGCACCCATACAGATTTGGCCGTGACTATAGATATAGTCACGGCCAAATCTGTATGGGTGCACGTCATCAACGGCATATGACGTCAGCGTTAAGGTCTATTCATACGTGCCCAGACACAATCTAACGCTCGTGTATTGTTGACTATTTATAGCGGTGGGGGCTGTTATTAAGATGGAATTATAACGTCCTTGTTATAATCTTCTGCACTAACTAATTGGGAGTTTGTTACAGGCAAATTTTTATTAAATGTGTTTAAAGAGAAAACAAACGGAGTTTATTACATTTTTATTACATATGCACATAACTAAAAAATACTAAATTATCAGAAACACAAAAATAATAAATTACCCGTCGTCCTTGTCATCAGAGCAAACCAGGTCAGAATTGAAGTCAGATTATTTCCCCAAATTTATTATTAAGGGCGCAATCTCTTCGAAATCTAATAACGGCTAGTTGCCAACAAGCCTTATATCATTGTTTGCACAATCCAGGGATAGAATCTTATAAACATAATGTATAATATTATTTATAATAATTTGCAACAAACGATGCTTCCGGACGAAATGTCACAATTACAAAAATACGTCAAATATAAAATGACAGCGACCCATCAATAATATTGAACGGTGCGCGCCAGCCTTAAGCTATTACCAACTGGCACACACAAAAATTACTAAGTGAATGGTTTTATTTTGATAATTTCGTGAAAAAACGTTTTAAAACAAGGAAATTGTTACAGTTCTTGATATACAATACGCAAATGAATGATTTCTTTTTAATAACACATCAGAATTACGCCTTAAAAAAGCAAATTTAACGGCAGTAACTTTACAATTCATAGTTGGTAATGCTGACGTCATTATATCTCATTGATGACGTGCACCCATATAGATTTGGCCGTGACTATATAGGTTTGGGCTTTCTGACAGGAACTGTCAAAAAGTACATGTGACTTTAAAGTCTCTGTAGATGTGTTGAATATTTTGTTTCCATAGCAACCGTTTTATATATTTCATAAATTAGCATAGAAAACGGACAGGGTTGTCGAGTTTTTTATATTTTAATGCCTAAATTGAACTACTTGTCGAAATTTTTTAATGTAATTACATTAAGGTTTATTTTAACGGTGATTACGATATCCTAAGCTATCGTACGCAATATTTTAATTATAAAAAAATATTTTTTTTCCGAAAGGCAGTTTTCGAGTTATTAAGCATTTAAAGCTTAAAACTTGGCAACAAAATGTTCTTACTGTAATATTACACATATAAAAAAAATTGTTATGGATACAAAATAAACAAGGCATCTAGCAGCTATCTGAATTTAATATTGTTGACAGATAGTATTTTATAAACAATTTTAACTTTTAATTTTTAAAACGTCGCGTCGTTGTGTTTAATTCTTTTATAAATTAATACCAAAAATAATACCTTTGGAAACAAATAGTTTTTGTGCTCACGTGGTATCTAACGTGAAACGCCATTTTTTGGGACAACCCGAATAGTATATTATATAATAAGTTTGATAACAGCACTTTAGTTACCAGTTTTAATTAGGCACAAGCAAAGCGTTTTATGGATCGTTTAACAAAAAAATTATGCCTTGAAGATAAAATGTCGTATCTACGCGTCGGCCTTTAACTTTGAGCTCACCACAAAAAAAAAGTTATAGCATAATGACATAAATAAGTATTACTTTATAAATTAAAACTCTTATTTAATAAAAATATTTTATTAAAAAAATATCGTTATGTACATCATAAAAATAAATAATAAATGAACACATTTATGTCGAAAAATTTAGAAAAACTTGCCGATATTTTATCTCACTTTATTTAGAATGGAATTATTTATGATTTAATAGCAGTTTCAATATGAAACCTAATATTTATATTCTGCTGTCTGACCAGTAAAGCTGACTCCTCATCTAAAAAAGTGTTATATTTAAAGTAAAACACTATAAGCTTTTACAAATAGTATGTTACTTACTCTAACATCTGTAAGGCCTTTCTCAGTCGGAATGTCCTCCATGAAATACCGGTACGACCTATAGGAAGGCCAATATTTGGAGGACCAAGTTCTAGGCCAGTAATGGTCATAATACGGCAGTGGTCGGTAAATTTTATAGTGGTAATAAAATCTCGCGTCAGGCCAAAAAGACCATTCGTACCCAGAAATGGGGTTTCTTAAATAGGTAAGCATCTCTGAAATATCGACATGTAAAATATTTGTTAAAGCTTAAAGATGTTTACTTACTTTTTGTTTTTAAAATACAAGTCAAGAAACAATTGGAGTACTTAGACAATACTGATTTAAAACTATTACACAGCTGCATTTCTACTCTATTTTTTGGAGGTATGCCATTTTTTTGTCCCCCTACTTTCTGGACTTTTACCTGACAACTAAAATAACTTAGTTATTGCCCCCTCTAAATTTTTGTAATACGTTATTTGTATTATATTATAATTGGCCGTAGGCACATAAGTTTTTAGTTTGTGACCAGCTGCTTAACAACTTATTTGCAAACAAATAAATTAAAATTAAATGTCTCATTAAATAAAAATAACCTAAATTCTTCTGCTAAATTGGTATTTTCTGTACAATAAAACTACTTTTAATATAGCTAAATAAGAAGTTTTTTAACTGTTCGATTTTGAATAAATTTTTTAAAAACAACAATATGTATTTTATAATATCTCTTTTCAGAAATTAGTTATTTGTGTCATAAGGCTGAGAAGTGAGTCTTTTTGTGATAAGCTCAAAGTTTTATGTCCAAAGTATTAGCGGATGTCATACAGCACAGTTTTATTTGTTATGCGATACATAAAACGTACTTACATTCATAATAACAATTATTAAAAGTATAAAGTGAGGTTAGATAGCTCAGAGCTGTCATCAGTTATTGATTTTTTGTATTGGTCCTAACAGGTTTTTTACAGTCTATGATGTTAAAAACTACTCCTACATACATTATTTTTACATCCTAGAAGATAATAGATTCCTTTGATAGTGAGCATTGACAATAATAAAGAACACTTTATGATAAAACCTTTTTTTTGTTCCAAAAAAACTTCAATTTAATTAAAAATAAAAAAAATAAACAAAACTAGGTTGAACAATTAACGGTTTTTCTATTTTTCACAAACTTTGTTCTATATTTAACAATTTATTGCAGGGGTGGAAATATCGTAGAATGGGGTTGACCGTATGCTAAATTCACGCGTCTTTTAATAACTGTCTCATTTGCATCAAGTTCAAAAGATTTTATCCCGAAACCATAATTGGGAAACACTGATTTATTTTCTAAATCTTTACTCTCAAAATGGCGACCGACGTCGTAAACAAAAATGCAGCTACAAATTGTCTTAGGGCGGCTATATCGTGCGGTTAATATTTTCCTCCTGATAGGGGTGGAAAAATACATAATTTGGGGTTTCTCCTTACCAAGGAAAATATAGAGGGAAATGATTTGTACATTCATACCGTGCCCAAGGAATTAACTGTTTTTAACAAAATTTTGTCAAAATGTTTTTGGAGGTAAATATTAACATTTTTCTTGGGGCATCATCAAAGTGTCTTTTTGAGGGCTACGACTTTGTCATTTAAAAGAAAATTGCAAGCGCGAAATTAAATTAAAACTAATTGTTTAAAAATTTTCCAATCCTTTTTCGGTATATAAATATAGGGTGATTCATTTCCGCAAAGTTTTTGTTTTCTTCGGTGCTCAAGCAAAATATAAGTTTTACCGTTTAAAATGCATGTAAAAAATATATTTTTTTCAAAAACTGTCCTTTGACGACTCCTACTGGTGAACCAATGCGAGTTACAAAAAAAAACTCAAGAGCAATTTTAAAGAGCGTGAAATTCCCCATAAGGTGTATTAAACCGATTTGCAATATTGTCAAAGGTGGGTAAGCATTAGAAATTTGAAAAAATATATATTTTTTGTACATGCATTTTAAATGGTAAAACTTTAAATTTAAATAGTAAGTGCTTAACATTAATATTAAGAGCTCAAACTTGGTGAGAATGTTTTTTCCTATATGCAGATTAATATTTTGCTTGAGCACCAAAAAAAAACAAAAACTTTGCGGAAATGAATCACCCTAATAAATATATATTAGTTTGATCATTGAATGACATTCTTTTGGAAAAAATAGCAAAAAATAATAGAATTTTTAAGAAACCATGGTGGTCTGTGGGGTTTTCCAAAAAACTCAAAATATTTAAGAATTTTCGAAAACAAAAAATTTAAAATCTTATTGGACAATTTTGTATGATATTGAACATTTTTTGGTTAATTATTTTTTTAATCACAGAAAAGTATAAAAGTTTAAAAGGTACAAATACTAGGTAGATACAAATAATACAAAATAAATAAAAAAATAAAAACAAAATTAATGTCTACAAAAGTTTATAAACGAGTTGCATACTATACTTTTTCTACGGCAAATACTTATTATTATATAAATTTGATTTAAATTAAATATTTCTATGAAGAAAAATTTATACAAAAATAGAGTAACTGTAAGATTGGGAATCTGTATTATCGGCGGCAAATGTGAAATTTTTCTGTGTAAATCGAAATGTATGCCTTGAAAACCGTATAAATTTTATAAAGAAGTAATTTTTCACAGTAAAAATAAAAAAAATATTTTATTTTAACTTCACGGTGGAGTTAATGAGGGAGTAGAAAAAAATATTTTAAATCATTGTGCTCGAAAGTTTTAAATTCAATTATTTTCATAGATATACATTAAACTAATAAACAATTTAATTAAAACATTTTATATAAAAATTTATATAAATATACCTAAACTGTAAATAAAATGAACTCATTCAAATAGCATTTGTTATTTAATCTAATAAATGATTGAATATTGGCAAATTCGTTTTAAGCACATTTTTCTATTAAATTTCACTTTTTTGTCATTAAATTCTTTTAGGAGGCACTGTCTACCTTTATCAAATAAATAGGAGTGCGTTTATTGGATTTCTTTTTATGTTAAAGTTAGTAAGTTTGTCAAAACTTTTATATATATTATTAAAAAAACCTTGTCGTTTATTTTTCTATGTAAAAGGAAAAATAATCTGTATTTTATTATAACAAAACAAAAAATCTTTAAACCATTTAACAAAACATTTTTTTACTTACCTTTTAAGACTTCAAAGTGTGAATAATAAAACAATTAAAACTCATAAATAAAAATATAAATGGGCATTTTTTTGTTTATACAAAACTAATTAAAAAATAATTGCATATCTTGCAAATTAACTTCCCTTAAGGTACATTTATAATTAGCCTACGCAGTACAATATAAATAATTGTTTTGTCCTAATTAAAATTGATAAAACACCTTCGAGAACATATTAAAATAAATCAATAGAAACTGTGGCAAGTTTTCGCGAAAAAAATAATAAATATGATTCATAAAGTATTTTTAATTTTTAACAAAATACTAAAATATTTTGATTGTTAAAAAAATGCAAAATGTATAATTTGTGTGGGTGGGACCTGATCTAAGAAAATTCTAGAAAAATTTTAAAAATAAAAAATTTTCAAGATCGGTGAGGGTTTTTATAGATTTAAATAGCCTTTTAGACTATTTTTAAACCTAACTTGATTTTTTTTGTGACATTTTTAAGGGTTATTTATCTATTGAAAGTTAATTTTTTTCCCCAATTTGATTTTGTTTTTTCGTATATTTTTGTAAAACAGGATAAACTAGTTTATTTTATCAGAATTTTTTCAGCCGATAAAACTGCGTGGCCAATAACTTTTCTAGGGCAATTTGGGTGCTTCGATTCATTTTACTCAATTAGCTCTTGTTTTTGCGATATTATGAAAAAACCTTTGTTGTTAATAAAATACTTTAACCGAGGATATATGGGTACTAATTAAACTAAAATAACAACACGAACAATTTTTGTCTCATTTATATAAGATGTACAACATTTTGTGGCTTCATCTATCTACTTTATTGTGTTTTATATTTTATCACAATCAAATAAAAATGAGAAAAATGGCGTTAAAAACAACCGTGCGTATCAAAATTAACATTTACGGTTGTTTTTGCTCCTGTCGCTTGAAGGACTTCTTAAATAATTTTCAGTGTATTTAATAAATTAAAATATGTATTTATTCAGGTTTTATGTGTATAATTTATTGTTTTTAATTTAATTATAATTTTGTAGCCCTACCTATCTACAAATGTAGCTATAGAACCCATAGCTACATTACCAATGATCCTTGATTTAGGTATATGATTAACAAAATATACGAATAAACAAAATATTAGAATTTAAAAAAAATTTTAAAATTTTTTGCAATATCTTAAAAAGCAAAAGTAAATTAAGCAAAATGATGGTAAGTTTTGGAACACGCATACCCAAGTTACCCTAGAAAACTTGTCGACCATGGTCAGTGTAATTTTTTGAAAAATAAATGCAGTTTGTGAAATGAGCATCTCATATTATGCTCGTAAACCTAGGTTTACCCCTTATTCTTGCTTTATCCGTATCACATACAAATTATAATTTCCAATCAAATTTAAATAAATTTGTTTCTCCTTTTTCCATTTGTCTTAAAGTACTGAAACAAACATTTTGACTTTTTAAGGTTTTGCACTAAAATTAAAATTTAAAAAAAAAGAAAAATTAAAAATTAAAGCAGTAGATAAAATAACTCTTATAAATGGCCTGAACAAAAAAACAAAAGCCTTCTCTCTAAAAATGAATTAGTCAAAAATGACTAATTTAATAGTTATTAGTGGCTGCTTCTTCACTTGTACCATGGTTATAACCAACCGTCAAAAATTATGAAAGTGGAGCAGTTTTTGAGATATAGTCAATTCCATATTAAATGGAAAATTGCCTATATCTCAAAGACTGTTCTACTTTTTTAACTTTTGACGACATTTTTGGATTCAGGGGATACTATGGTATATCATGGTTAATCATGGTACAAGTGAAAAAGCAGCCACTAATAAATTTTAAATAATTATTAGTCATTTTTGACTAATTTATTTTTAGAGAGTTACTAATATAAAAAATTAACTAATTGGCCTAAGGTGAAATTCTAATAATTTGTACACATCAAAATTTGTACTGTGTACTGTGTGTATTTCATAAAAATTAAAAATACTTGTTAAATTTTCACGTCAATTGAAGCGTTAGGTACTCATCGCTACTTACTCGGAAATTATCGATATCGTATTCGATTTTGCTGAACGAATCTTGCAACGACCTACTGATCGGCGATGAGTAATTTAAGTAAGTACTCAAGTATCTATAGTAAGGTAGGTAGTAGCTGTCTCTTGGCCAGTCGTAGTACCATCTATAGATTTTCGGATAATAGCTATAGCTTGGCTTGTAGTAGGTCGAATAATAGTTTACTCCAGTTATGGGGTAGGGCACATAGGAAATCCTCTGTAAAAAATTGAATGCCTTTACCCTTTGAAAGTTTTGAGCTTTTTTGTATTTTGGAGATAAAAGCAAAGTTCAGCTGCTATATGCGTTTATCGAGTAAAGAAAATTAAAACAAAGAAATATGTAGTTTTTTATGGCGTTATGTTTTACCTAATTCGACTTTATTTTATTCTATTCTATAGAATATAAAAATATTGGTCTATTAACGTACTTAACCAAAAACATTTTTATTTGTCTTTTTTATATACAACAGTAAGGTTTTTAAAAATTTAATTATTTTAATTTATCTTCAAAATTATTCTTATATGTGTATAAAAATTATTTCCCACTTTTTGACGCATTAAAAAGCATACAAAGAAAATAACCCATATTCCCAAAACAACATTAAAACATTGTTATTTCTTTGTTTTAATTCCCCGCTTACTGTTATTATTTTATGACATCAAGGTTAGTGTGATTTTTTACAAGCACAGCCATATTATGTATTATATTCTTAAAACAAAAAAAACTGTATTTTTTTTTACTTTAATTTACTTTGCATTTATTAATTCCGCTGGGTTGCAATTAAAAGCTTTTTACAGCAATATAAATTATTATGTACAGATAAATATGTGGATAAATATAGACTGGTTACCAAACGTATTATAGCAGCTGAAATCACTTTTTATTTATTTAGTATACCACCAAAGCCAACCAATGCATTATCCGATAATCTAATAGGAGTTTTATGGTTTAAATTATATTTTAAATATTTAAATAAATTAAATTTTTTAATTTTAGCAAATAACATACCTTGGCTTTTCACTTAATGTAATTAAATTATTATAATAAAATTTATAGAATAAATACATTTACAAAAATATAAAAAGTTATTAAAAAATCATTTTTCTTAAAATGAAAAAATGAGATTCGTCATTATTAAAGATTCTTGAAATTCATTATTTTTTTAAATGTGTAAATTGGTTCTTTATTATTTCATTATTCATTATTTCTTTTAAATATAAAAATTGTTTATCTGCAAGCGTTCTATAATTTAAGCTTTATTATTGTGAAAATAATTGATATAATTTTATAATAACAGTTATTGAAAGTATAAAGTCAGATACTTAGTTTGCTTCTAAATAACTAAAATTACACGCTTATTCTTTTTCGCACTATCCCGGCGAATTCGCCATTTTTAAACATTTTTGTATATTATTATTGAAAACTTAAAAATCGCTTTTTAAGGTAATAAATCTATTTATTTTAATTCGTATCTGTTAAACAATTTCCTAAATAAACAAATATGCGGTCTTTTATTTTGAATTATATTATTTACAATTAAATTATGCATGAAACTTTTCACAGCTTGTTTCACATATTCCAATAATTTCAACGATTTGATTACGTTCACCCTCTTTTACTGTCTAAGATTTATGGAAAAATAAATGATGTTCCTGATAAGTTTTGATTTAATGGAAAGTACAAAAAATAATAAATGCAAATATTAAGATAAAGTTGTACTTTATTTAAAAAAAAAGGCAAATTCGACGAATTTTATTTGATCAACTATTGGATGCTCAACTTGTGATAATAGATGGATTTTTCTTTAAATTTGTACAGGGTGCATCAGATAATAAATGGATTTTTCTTTAAATTTGTACAAGGTGCATCAGAATCAATGTTTTTTTTTAAATTAGCATGTAAAAAATATATTAGGCAAAATTAAATTGTACGATGTATGTACATTAGGGTGTTTCAAAATGAGGCAATATTTTTTCTTAATTCATGTAATATTCTCGTCACTTATGCTAAAAAACATTCTGTCAAAATTTGAGCTCTTAATATTAATTTTAAAAGGTCCATCATCGAATTAAAAGTTTTCCCATTGATTTAACATGAAAAAATAGGTTTTTAAGATTTATTTCGCCTGCATACTATGTAGAATTTTTTTTTGTTACTAGTCCTTATTTAGCATTAAATTACCTACAAAAAATCTTACAGACTCCAGTTTGTAGATTTTACTCTTTCTTTTTTATTAATGTTGAAACGTATAAATTCTAAAAAAATTGATATTTTTACATTTATCGGCTAAAGTACTAATCGTAGAAGAAAAAGTTAATTATCAATTTTGAAGATAATTTAATGCTCTACAAATTTGTTTTAAACAATTTTTTTTATCAAGTACAGCTCAAAAGTTAGTGTCTAAAATATTTTCATTATTTTGCATAATATATTATTATAATACTCACTGTAGGAAAAAAAAGTTTAGGGACAATTTTGCAGGAAACTCGAAATTCTATAAATAACTTCAAAACACGCAATTAATTGCTCAATTTAAGCTAAAATTGCTTAACTTTTATGATATTCTTAATTTCATGATCTAGCTTTTGACTGCAACAAAATTTTATACTTCGCTTCAAAACAGTTTTGAAATACTGAAAATAATTTTTAAGGTTTAAAATCATTTTCAGTATATCAAAACTTTTTTGAAGCGAAGTATAAAATTTTATTTGCTGTCAAAAGCTGGATCATGAAATTAAGAATATCATAAAAGTTAAGCTATTTTAGCTTAAATTCAGCGACTGTGTTGAAGAATCTTGGTACGGTATCTATAGTGCTTCGAGTTTCCTGCAAAATTGTCCCTAATTTTTTTTCCTACAGTAAATATTGTAATAATATATTATGCATAATTTAGACACTTATAACTTTTAACTGTAGGTGATAAAAAAGTTGTTTAAAAAGAATTTGTAGAAATTTAAAAGATCTTCAAAATTGCTAATTGACTTTTTTTCTACGATTAGTAGTTTAGCCGCTAAATGTAAAAGTATCAATTTTTTTTAGAATTTATACCTTTAAAGTTAATAAAAAAGAAACAGTTGAATCTACCGAAAGATTTTTTGTAGATAATTTAATGCTAATAAAGGACCAGTGATTGTTTATCAAAAAAAAAAGTTCTACATAGCATGCAGGCGAAATAAATCTTAGAAAACTATTTTTCCATGTTAAATTTTAAAATTAATTTTAAGAGCTCAAATTTTGACAGAATTTTTTTTTAGCATAAGTGACTAGAATTTCACATGATTTTGAAAAAAGAAAAATATTACCATAAAAAGATAAAAAATCAAAATCATGTTTATTTTTGTGACATGGTTATTTTTTATAATATTATTTTACATTTTTAGACTAAAAATTTTAGTACCAGGTCCTAATAAATATGTTTTTAAATTGAAGAAAATAGTTACTCCCATTTCAAAAACACCCATTTATTTTGGGAAGAGAAATGTATAACAATTTGTAATGTATAAAAAACATCAATAGTAAAAATAATAATAATGGTATATGATTTAATTTTAATAAATTTACAGGGTGTTTAAAAAATATTATTTTCAAAAAACGTTTGTACAAAATTGGTACTTACAAAAAATTATTTAATATAACCTTAAGATATTTTTTGATCATATACAAGGTGTCCCTGAAATGCCTGCACAAAATAATTCCAAAATAATGCCATAATATAACTAAATTTTATTTTATTTTATTTTATTTAGGTATTTCCTTACTAAGTTGATTAAAACCTTAATATACGGTGACAAAGTTAAAAGTTTGTTTTGTTTTTTATTAAATAAATTTAAAAAAAACAAACAATTTTGTACAAAATTGATATTCAGGGGTTTTTTCAGGATGGGAAAATTATTTTTCTAGATATATGCGATTAAATTGTTTAGTGTACCCCTGTGTACCTATTGTATTTTTTGCACTTAATTTACCGAAGGGTATTTTTTTAACTATAACCTAATTGGGTCAGAATTTCTCAAACGGGCCACCTGAATTAGGTCAAAATTAGTTTTTGTTTGTAGATACATTTTTTTGATAGTATTTTACATCACTAACACAAATCCTAAAGGATTTTGTAAAAAAAAAATTTTCAATTGACATATTCATGATATTAAAAGTCAAAGTTTTTAATAATTAAAAAATAAAAAAATTCATTATGGCTGAACTAATTATCCGATTCCAACGATATAACTAGCGTTGGAATCTTGTTTTGACATAGATTCTTTGTTATTTTTTTTAATTGTCCTATTTTCATTTAGGTCGATTTTTTTTTGTTTTTTTTATACCAAATTCGGAAATAATTGCCTTCTGCGCCAGCTATCGACTCGAGAAAAAAAACACATATACTCCAATCATTTCTCGAAATTATGCTGCTGAGAAAAAAAATGGCCCGCAGGTTGACAAAAAGTTATTCGTCCTTTTGTGGCCGCGCGCGGTGTCAGCTCACGCTCCGAACCGTGTACGCTGTACGCGCTTGTGACGCGACGTCTTACGGTGGTCTGGAACCTGCGGGCCATTTTTTTTCTCAGCAGCATAATTTCGAAAAATGATTGGAGTATATGTGTTTTTTTTTTCGAGTCGATAGCTGGCGCAGAAGCCAATTATTTCCGAATTTGTTATAAAAAAAACAAAAAAAAATCGACCTAAATGAAAATTGTACAATTGAAAAAAATAACAAAGAATCTATGTCAAAACAAGATTCCAACGCTAGTTAAATCGTTGGAATCGGATAATTAGTTTAGCCATAATGATTTTTTTTTATTTTTTAATTACTAAAAACTTTTACTTTTAATATCATGAATATGTCAATTGAAAATTTTTTTTTTACAAAATCCTTTAGGATTTGTGTTAGTGATGTAAAATACTATCGAAAAAATGTATCTACAATCAAAAACTAATTTTGACCAAATTCAGGTGGCCCGTTTGAGAAATTCTGACCCAATTTTTTTTTAAATGTTACATTTTAAATCACAATTTAATGAAAAATTTAAATGCATATATCTCGAAAACGGTTACTCGCAGCGACATTTAAAAGTATACCATTATCAAGTAGTAAAAATAAATAAATAATTATTTTATTAAAAATGTGAATACACTAAGGCGCAAAAAGTGTCGCAGGCAGCGCCCTCTAAAACCTAAATTAATTTTTTGAAGAAATTTAATTTTCCCGGTCTAAAACACCATCAAAAATTAAATTTGGTTCAAAAACCTTTGGTTTTTTTTAAGTTATTTAAAATAATCAAAAACGAACATTAAACTTTGACACCCTATATATTGGTTATTAGAAGTAAATTTAGTTCTATCACATTATTTCGGTATCAGGAATATGTAATTTTAATTTGACGGGCATTTCAGGGAGATCTTGTAAATAAACAAATTTTTAAAAAACATATTTTAACGGATCACCAAACATTTTCTATGCGAACGCGCAAAACCTTCACATTTGTTGAATTTATATTTAGAGTTATTGGCTCCTATCCAATTTCGCTAAATTTCATATACCCACCGAGTGATTCGATTTCACAGATGTTATTGATAACATGTCCATATCGGGCGCCGTTCATTTAATAGTAGACATCTTTAAATGCAGTTACTTTAAATTTATGAATATCTTTTATAAGGTGTACGTACTTATCTTTTTGCAATTATTCATTTTTAGGTTTTAATATAAAATGATAAATTACCAAAATATTTGTACAAAAAGTTAAGTTAAAGTTTAAAATAATATTGTCTAAAAGATTTTTATGTTTAGTTTCATTTTTAATTTATATATTTTAATTATTTTGAAACTTAAATATTTACTAGACATGAAAACATAGTACATAATAAAGGTACTCAAGAGATTAGAATGCTTCTAATTTCACAAGGCATTAAAAATATTGATTAAATTATAAAACCAAAAGGACAAAGCATTTAAGCTTACAAGGGGCTTTCTATAATAAAAATGTCTATAATGTTGACAACCTCCAAAAAATGTTTAATTAATTACCCACTCCGAAATACCTGACAAATTTTCTTTTGAATTTGGAGCTTTCTACAAAATTAAAAATAAACCAGTGTAATCCTATATATTTTCTTATTATTATTAATGTTTCGTCTTCGCGAAATGTTTAATATTTGTTTAATTTTATTACATTTATTTAAATATTATATTTAGCTTATTGCCCCCCAACGCGCATGTTTATTGCAATTATTTTAATTACCTGTTTGACCGCGTGAGGGCGTAAGTGTATTAATTAATAAGAGTTCGAACGGCGAGCATCCCCGCGCGCAAGAGTGATCTACCACACGACATTATACCCGCTTTACCCCGCTTTATCCCGATTTATCCCGCTTGTGCATCTCCACCGCTTGAAACCAACGCTAACAGCCAGAAACCAGACCAGGGCCCTGAGTGTCGTCATCAGCACCAGCAACAAGGTAGGACTTTATTAGTATTCTTACTGCCCACGTTTTATCTTGTAACATAATTCAGTCAACTAACACCACCATCCCCTATTTCTCACATTTATACAGTCCACTGCCTGCCAATTAATCTTCTTCGTCTTAAAATAAACACACCTTTTTACTTGAAATACATTCTGCCCACATTTACTAAAAGTTTAATTATAGACTCCATTCACGGGGAATATTTTTGTTACACTTATGGTCATAATTAAGATTTATTTTATAATCAAAAAATGCTAAGGAATATAATAGTAATAATGTTTAGGATTTATCAATATAAAGAAATAAAGTTTTAAAAAAGTTTTGGTAAAAAAAGGAATCTATAGGCTAGACGGGTTGAAAAGTACAAACTAAAATAAATGTGCATTTATTTAAGTTTTATACAGTTATGTATATTAATAATTAATTGAATATTCGATAAAGGGTCTGTCCAAAATTATTTAATTTTTTAGTAGGTACTATACTCAGAGGCTTAAAAATAGGTATTTATTCATTTTTTAGATGATCAGAGTTTTTATCTGTTACTTTGTATTGGTACGTCAGCCTATTTTGCGTTAAACTATTTATCTTCTTGGGTTTTAAAGATATTTAGTTTAAACAAAAATCAAGCTAAAGAACAAAAAAAGAAACAATAATTTCAGTATTTATGTTAGTGGGCGTTACTAACTGTAGATCAACAAAAAAAGTAGGAAAATACAATGTTTTCAAAATAACCTTAAATATTGTTTCCTGGATATAGTCTCTATATAATATTTTCCTTAAAAAGTTTTAGCCCTTAAAGTTGCATCCTTATTGGGTCTTTAAATATTTTAATTAGTCTAAAATCGGGTATTTTTAATCGGAAATATCTCAAAAGGGACAAACTATTTAATAACATTATTTTGTATTTTGTATGATTAACCATGGAAAACCATGGTATCCCAAAATTTAACAGCCAATTCTTATGTAAAATTGTTTCCTGAATCTGAAAATGTACAAGTGAAAAAGCAGCCATTAATAACTATTAAATTAGTCATTTTTTACTAATTCATTTTTAGAGAGTACAGAGTTTAGCAAACCTCTGTAAAATGCAAAATACGCTGGCGCACCAATAAATACCCTTAAATTATAAAATTTATGAAAAGGCAAGTGATATCTAATTAAAAAATTAGCAAATTGCAAAATAAATCTTTCTTCAAACTAAATTTGACTAATTTTTTCGAATTTAATTATAATTATAATGATAATTATTATAATTATAATGATAATTTGTTTCTTACATGAAAACGTCGTAGTTGAATGGCATTTAAATCACTTTGGTAACGGATAAAAAGGAAGGTAACTTTTGCAAGTGGATAATTATTTATTTACCTCGTGTCATTTCATTTCCTTGACAACCTTGCAAATAATTATTTTTTAATAGCAGGTGTCAAAAAATCTTTTAAAATTAATCGTTTTGGTGTCGTTTCCGGCGAAAAACAATAAAGAACAAATTGGAAAAAGTATCCCAAATAATTCTTTAATAATAAAGCGTCAATTTGGCGACAATATATGGCATTTTGTAATGCGAGGAATTACAAACTACTCGACTCAATATCACAGCAAGATTTAGCAAATATTTTGCTTGATGGGGCATGCAATAAGAAAAAAATTAATCACAAAATTATCTCGTCGAATTACACTCGAGCTTTTTTTCTGGCAGGATAAATTTATGTTTTCTAACTTTCAAACTTGTTACCTTTTAGCAATTTGACTCGAAAAAATGTCATCTGACAAAATCGCTCGACCTACGGTCTCGCAATTTTGATTGATGACATTTTTTCTTGTCAAATTGCTAGGTAACAAGCTTTTAAGGAAAACAAAAATTTATCCGGCTAAAAATAAGCTCTTGTGTAATTATAGTCGATAATTATCAATGTATACAGCGTTTGTGGATGTTATAATGTAGAGCGAACATTACATTTTTTTAAATTAGCAAATTTTAGTGCTAAAAAAACATGTTTTGGATACGAATTTTTAAAAATCTAAATTTTAAATATTTTTAGAAAATATCTAAGAATTTTTTCTATCAGGTTACATCGAAAATATTAAGTTTAGATAAAGCTAAATAAATCCAAAGGCAAAAGTCCTTGGGTAAAGATATGCACAAAGGATAGGTCAGATTTGTTGGGCCAACGAATGTTTCTTATAATTATATAATCCTTATAATCTTTTGTTTAATTTATAAAAGTATTATTTATAACAAGAATCTATTTTTTATTTAGAAAAAATAATATAGTTTGCACACTCACTTGGAAAATTCCATTTTCCATTTTCATTATACAACTAGTTACTAAAGTTACACTAGTTGAATAATGAAAATATTATTCCACTAGTGAAACAATATAAAAGAAGAAGAATAATTATGATATAAACGTTGAGACCGCCGAAAAGGCGTTTTTCGAAAGGATGTTTTTTAAGGTTCAGTTAATTTTATTAATTAGATTAAAAAATAGCCGCGGCGGGCAAATATACAATAAACGTGTCAACAAACAGTATACGTAGACACTTACATTCAAATGACATTTGATTTAATCATCAATATTAATTATTAGTATTATTAAATGTGATTTCGGATAAAATTTAATATGCACTTCGGCATTAAAGTAATTTTTTAACACTCACGTGGTTATTATAATAATTTCCACATTCGTGATAAAAAATACGACTTTACTGCTTTGATACATAAATAACTATTTAAATATAGGATTATTTTAAAGGTTTATATTTTAATTTTGTTTATTATTTAATTTGTTTTAATTTAAGCTGCTTTTAGTTATTTAATATCGTTTTTAACCAGTTTTTTTTTAATTTAATTATATCAGATTTAATATTAATACTTTATTTTTGAGTTTTAGAATAATATAATATGTTTATATTAAAGAATAATATTAAACTTTTAAACTATTAAATATAGTAGAAGAAATGGTATTTTGAAAACCTTATTCTGATCTTTAAATTAATTTGTATATAAGAAAATAAACTAATTTTCCTTAAAGTTTAATATTTGTCTTGGTACTTAACTAATTAACATGTGCACATGCTACATGTT